CTAGTTTTTGTGGTCAGGAATCATTGTCTGTATTGATCTAATTTAAATCATTGTAAATATATATATGTGGAGTTGGAAGGAGAAAAGTAGTACTGACATCTCCATTGTGACTGCTCTAATAGTTGCACCTCTAACAGGTGTTAACAGCCCATGTTAATTTGACTGGCATAGCCTAAAGATTTCATGAGTCACCCATGGGGAAGCTCTTACTGGCAACCCCCTTAGCTCACCTGGCTCACTAGAGGAGTGGATTGTGTCTTGGAAGGGTTAGAGGGCATGGGCAGATGTGCCCATGAGACTGTCTTTCATTTGCTTGGATGGGTGTGGCACACACGCATGTGCACACACACACACACAGGCACAGGCACGCACACGATCTCAAGAGCCTTGCAGCAGCCAGCCCCAGTCAGTGCCGTGGCTCTCAGGTCTTTTTTCCAACTTCAGTGCTAGAGAAAACCATCTGGCAAAGTTTTCTCAGTGTGGCTCTATCCTCACCTCACATTTCTTGTCAGTATGAACAACTCCTAACATCATACTTTGTTACGTGGTTCTGTGCTTTGCTACATAAAATTATACAGTAATGAGATACTACTATATTCACCTTTAGACTGAAAAAGCTTCTGACCCCACAACCTCTCTTCGGATTGCCCAAGCAGATGGTAAAATCGAAGAAAAGACAGCTGCTAGTGTTCCTGCCAATGTGGTATGAAAAGTCTTTTTATGCTGTGGACAGTTGTGTGTGTATAAGGGGACTACCAAGATGATGTAGGAATAAAGGTGACTAAGTGTGGTGTGGTTGATGTGCTTCTTGAGTTCAGGAGCTGGGAGGCCGAGGCAAGGGGGTCATGTGCTCTGGCCTAGGATGCATGGTGATAAGCATTTGTTCCTGTTTTTCCTTAACTGCTGCCACAGATACATAAAGTGTTTTAAAATGAGACAAGTAATCTCTTTGTTTAGCAACAGTGGCTTTAAAAGGGCAATCAGGATGTATCCCTGGTGCACAAAAGGACTTTGGGAGCACATTCCCCATGGAGGGATACTCCCTTAGCCTAGAGGCAGGAGGGAGGGCCTATACCCTACTCCAAATGACTTGACAGATTTTGATGACCACTCCTGGAAGGCATCAGCCTCCCTGTGGAGTGGGGGGGTGGGATGGGGGTAGTTGGGGGCCATGGGAGGGAAGGAGGGAGGGAGAGGGAACTGGGATCGATTATGTAAAATAAGAAAAAATACATATTTTTACAAAAAAGAATGCCTTTGGGGGGGCAATTGGTGTTAGCAAAATGCTCATTCAGCATGAACATCACTGAGAATGCTCATTTATTTCTCTTGTCCTTTAGAGCAAAGGTACCACACCTCTGGCTCCACCACCTAAGCCTGTTCGAAGAAGACTAAAGTCAGAAGATGAGCTACGACCAGATGTGGATGAGCACACACAGAAGACAGGTGTCTTAGCTGCTGTCCTTGCATCGCAACCTTCTATTCCCAGGTAATCCAAGTTACTCCTCAGTACATTTAATTACTAACAACAAAACACAGCTAGAAACACAGCCAGAAAGAAACAGATTCATTCTTTGGTTAAACAAAAGTTCTCAAGAGAGTTTTCTCAGCCAGTGAAATGGCTTTGGGTAAAAGTGCTTGCCACCTGGCAACATGAGTTCAAACCCAGGACCCACGTGGTAGAAGGAGAGCGTGCCGTGCATATGGAGGACATAGGACTAATTTGGGAGTTGGGTCTTCTTCCATGTGGGTTCCATGGAACAGACTAGGATTATCATGCCTGTATGGCATGTACCCTTACCATCTGGGCCTTCTTGCTGGCCCAGCTTTTACATTTCTGAGAAAAGAGAAAGAAACAAAGACACACAGCAGGAAGTATGACCCACAAAGCCGAAAAGATTCATTGTCTGGCTGTTTTTAGAAAGAGGCTACAAGTACTGGTTCAGACTATTTCATTCCACAAATTCAACAGTGTAATTACAGTACTTTTAACAGCTCTGGTCTTGGGCTTCTGTAGATTACAGATTCCTGGTTATCATTGCAACGGCAAGTGAAGTTGAGCCCTGCTGAGAAGGAAGAAGTCCCTTTTTCTCTGCTTGGAAGTCAGTGGGAAAAAAGGGTTAAAGGTGGGAAAGAAATGACGATGTCTTTGCCCCTGTGTCTTCTTAGATCTGTGGGGAAAGATAAAAAGGCTATCCAGGCATCAATTAGACGGAATAAAGAAACCAACACCGTTCTGGCCAGATTGAATAGTGAATTGCAGCAGCAATTAAAGGTAATTGTCGCCGCTGAATCCTAAGTTCCATGCATGCAGTGCATCTCAGTGTTGGGGGAATTGGAACTGTTCCTTTAGCTCTTATCAGTCTCTGAAACATTCCCAAAGCAGAAGAAAGCGTGTAGCTACAATGTGTAAGCTGTTGACTTTGAATACTAAAAGGAATTTCTTACCACAATTCTTGTGTACAAGTTCTTAGCCTTCACATGTAAGATATAGTATTCTCTGTAACATTGTTAACTTCCATGAAGAGACTTTGAGAAGAAAAGTGAACTTGAGTATCTCTGAGAGGAGTACATACATGGCTTTGTGCTCAGTGTCACATGTGGGCAATTGGGCTGTTACCAGTTTCTCCTTTGACCAGAGAAAAGAAGATGAGCCTTAAGTCACAGTAATGCTTCCTGGGCCAGTGAGTGAGGGCCCTGCCCTGCAAGCCTCGTGGCCTGTGCTCTATCGCTGTAGCCATGGTGGAAGGAGAGGCCTGACTCCCAGAAGTTGTCCTGCAACCTCTACACACATGCTGTGGCATGTGTTCACACACACTAATAATCGCTTTTAACATCTGAATGAAAAATCTTTTTTGTAAAACTGAAATTCACAGTAAGATCTAGGATCAGATACAATCACCAGAGGAAAGAATTCATGTTAACAAATTCATATATAGTTAATTAAGGCTTTATTCAATTTGTGCAGTAATACCCATCTACTACAATCACTTGTTTTTCTAACAATTAACCTAAAAGCATTTTACTGTCACCAGAAATGGCTTTGAATTAGTAGGATTGTGTTTTCCTATTATGAATGTACAAATTACCCTCTAAAGTGAACTAGTTTTAAAATAGAATCCCTGTCACTTTCTCGTGACAAATACAGTTGTTAGCTTAAGAAGAGCTGGTGTTGGATTTCTGTCTACTTTCAACATGACCTGAACTTTGTATCTTTTTCAGGATGTTCTTGAGGAGAGGATTTCCCTGGAAGTTCAACTGGAACAACTCCGACCATTCTCTCACCTCTAGGCCAGTTGCCGTTAACTGTGAACATGCCCATTTTTAAAGCAGTTTTGGGTTCAGAGCCTATTTGGAAACTTAAACATTCAGCTCACTGCTTAATTGAACATTAAATTTTATGATTCTGTTTTGCCCTATATGTTCACCATTGTATTTAAGTATCTTTTATTTTTTAATTTCAACAAATAAAAGGGTCAGGAGGACTTTTTCTGGAGGATACATTGTGTTTGTTGGCATGCCTCGCCCTTCCTGTGCCTTAACATCAGATAGCAGTCATACTGGCCCCTCTGTGATGTGTGGCCAAACCACACCATGACTGGATTTACAGAATGGGCTTTTCCTCAAGCACAAACTCAGAAATCTTTGCAAAAGGAAAACGATATCAAACTTTCAACATCTCTCTATTCTATAAAGGGTTTTAAGATGAGCTCCCTGCTCAATATTTGATTCGAGAGCCTGGTGTGTTTCTTAGAAACTACTACCATTTTCTTCCTCAAGGCCTTACTCAGCTGTATTCAGGAATCATGTAGTACTCAAAGCTTGTTTGACTTGCCAGCTAAGGGTCAGGATTTTGTTTTTCTTGACCAGTTTCACCCATGACTTCTTATTTGTATCTGTTTATGTAAGGGCGTAATTCAGCAGGAGTGCTGTAAGCTTATGAACTGTGAAGACAGGTCTTTCTTCATTGTCCCCTCATGGTGAAGGAAAAAGCTGAAAACATTACTTGAGGAGTGGGAAAAGCCAGTGAACACATTTCTGCTCTGTGCATTACTGAGGGGCTCACTCTGCTGACTTCTGACAGGGGCCAGAGTCCTACTTCAGTGGTGAATGCGAACCTTGCAAGGAAGAGGACCTGTAGTATTCACAGAACTCTGTTTGTTTGAATTTTTAAGTCAGACATGGTGGTATACTTATAATTCCAGCACTGGGAGGCCAGACAGACAGGTCCCTTGGGTTCTCCCGCCAGTGAAAGACCCAGCCTTTTTTTTTAAAGTGGAGGATACCTGCAGACTGACACCTAGGCTATCCTCTGACTTCTACCTGCAAGCACACACAAAAGCTTCACAGATAGCATTTTCAAGTAATGTTTGTAAACTTCTGAGGTTATCAGTTCACATGAGAACTAGTTTCAGATTTCTAGGTTATCCTCAATTACATCGTCACTTACTTTTTCCATATACGTAGGTTTTGCTAGTAAAGTCTCTGGGGTGTGCCCTCCGCTGTCAGGATAGATATATCTGGGTACTGTTTGTATTTGTTACTAACTACCAACAGATATCCTCTGTAAAGGTTATTTTATGTCTTAAACTTTACAGATCCATCAAAACAGAATCTTGTTTCTTTATGTGTGGTTTTTCGAGAGGGTTTCTCTGTGTAGCCTTGGCCGTGCTGGAACTTGCTCTGTAGACCCAGCTGGCCTCAAATTCACAGAGATCCACCTGCCTCCCAAATGCTGGGATTAAAGGTGTGCACCAACACTTCACAGTTAAGAATAAAATTCTTACACTAATAAGAAAACATAATATTTAATTTCTATGTTTTAGCCCGAATTTAAACTTTTAAGAATTAGAAATTATCGTTTCAGTATTGAAACATATTTAAGTGTCCTGAGTTCACAATCCTACAATGTTTCAATGGATTTAATAACCATAACACATTATGAAACAGAAAGTAGACAACAACATAATCCCAGTTAATACATACTTTCACCAGTCATGTAACTTTGCAAAAAGAATCCATTTTTATTCAGCTCAATTTCATTATAGGTACTTTTTGTTGTTGTTGTTAATTTCTATTTTTTGTTTGTTGCTTATTTATTTTAAGACCAGGTTGCTGTATCCCTCGCTACCCTGGAACTTTATGTAACCAGCTGGCCTCAAACTCAGAGATCTTCCTGCCTCTGAAGTGTTGGGGTTCAAGGCATGTGCCACTATGACTGGCTGCTAATTTTAGTTTCTCCTTCCAAACTCTCCCATAAGCCCCTCCTTACACTCTTTCATATTCATGACCTCTTTATACAGTCATATTCCTAAGTACAGTGTGCTTGATCTGTGAATGTTATTTGTATGCATGTTTTCAGGGCTGACCAGTTGGTATTGGATATCCAGTTGTTATTGTCTTCCCTGGGGAAGACTGTTTCTCCCACTCTGAGCACCCCAAGGTTGTCTGTAGTTCTGTGTAGGCTAGAGAGAGGCCTGCCTGCCTGGCGACCTTTCGCCCACCCACATTGGCATTTCTGTTATAGCCACCTTTTTTTCAGCTCATGTTTAAGTAGTCATGTTGGTGACTCTTTATGGATGTAGCTTCTGGCATTACTAGGAGACACAGAAAAGCCCCTGATCCTCTGGCTTGTATAACCCCTGCCTTCTACAGTGTTTCCTGAGCCTTAGGTTCTGATTGTTTTGTAGATGAATCCTTTGGGACTGGGTTCTAAAATCTGCTATTTGATTGGTTGTAGTTTTCTGCAGTGATTCTGTTTGTTACAAAGAAAGATTTCCTTATTGAGGGATGAGGACCACACTTATTGGTGGCTAGAAGGACAAATATTTAGAACGTAGTTAGAGATTATGCTGGTTATAGATTCTCCTCCAAGATCCATGACTTCACTAGCCCTGAGTAGTTGGCTTAGGTTTCCAGTACCAGGCATGATTTCCTTCCTGTTGAGATGGTCTTATGTCCAATTAGAGAGTTGTTGGTACCACCAGGTATGCGTGCCACAGTTGCACTCATAGGGTTATCATCCCATGCTGGTCATTGTATTTCATAGACATCATAGCTAGGTAGGTCTGTTGGTTGCTTTCCTCCTTTGGACGCTTACATGTCACTTTCTGGGTACCTCAAAGGCTAGTCCTTAGGGAGGAGTCATTCAGGCCCGTTCCAGTTCAGGAGTCTCTGGGCCCTGAGTCTGAAGTGCAACAATTTCCATTAATTTTTACAGATTATTTTAATTTGTATGGGTATGTGTGTTTTGCCTGCATATATCTCTGTGTACTGCATCCATACTTAGCACCCATGGAGGCCAAAGAGAGTATAAGTTTCCCTAGAACTGGAGTTATAGATTACAATCTGCTATGGGATACTTAGCACCCATGGAGGCCAAAGAGAGTATAAATTTCCCTAGAACTGGAGTTATAGATTACAATCTGCTATGGGTTCCAGGAATTGGATCTGAGTCTTCTGTAAAAAGAGCCAGTGCTCTTAACTAATGAGCTGTATCTCCAGTCCCATTCATTAATTTTTGTTATTTAAAAATTGGATTCTCCCACCAATGAATTTCTAATGTTATGGTTTTAAAAAAATTAAGGTTATTTGGAAGATCTAGGAATTTTGTCTGAAAGCAAAAAGAATTATAGAAAACAAAGAAACAAAACCCACCAAATGTTTTAGTTCTTAGACATGGCATATTCTAATGCTTTTAGAAGGGGCACATTCAATTTATTTGACACTTGCTCAAGAAAGCTGCCATTCATAGTTCTCAGGCATACCCTTAAACTCATTAATTGCATCATGAAAAAGTTGATATTGAGTGGTGAGTCACAAACAAATTCAAGTATTGTTTTAGAATGCTCATGAAATAAACATTCATTCTGATTTTTCATTACTCATTTTTAAAATCCTACATGGTTTTTCTCATTACTCATCATGTCAGATTGTTTTAATTAATGCCCTGAGCAGTACCTACCAAAAGATATGGTTCAAAATTTTAGACTTGTTCTTATGCATTCTTAATAGCTTAATCATACATTTTTAAAGTTGGAAGGAACCTCACAGGCAGTCCTAGCTCTTCCGCCTCCTCACTATCCACGACTGGTACCTATGTGCTGTTTACTAGGTGAGCTGAAGGTGTTATATGACTTTCCAAGGACCCTCTTGTCTTTTTTTTTGAGTCTAGTCTTACTTCATACTGCTTCTGATTGCAGTTTGGAGTACAGACAACCAAAGGAATTTATCATCTGCCACCTCTGTAGCACAAATCCATTCACGTTTTGGACCTTGAAGAATGAATGCATTCTTGACATCTGTGAAAACATTTGAGGTACATTATTTTTTTTCCACCTATTGAAAGTATACTGCTTTGATTTTGATTGTATTTATAGTTACATAATTGGCTGATTAAGGAACATCTCTTTTTTTCCCCCTGCTTAGTTTATTTCACTTAAACATAATGTCCTCTGTGTTTATCAATGAGCTCACATATGACAAGCCTTTCTTTATAGACAATCAGTTCTGCACTAGAGCTACACTAATGTTCATTCAATCTTACCAGGCAGAAATCAAAAATGTTGTAAGTTCAAGATTTGACTAGCTAATCTTAGAATTTTTAAAGCCTACAATCAAGGATTCAAAGTGAGCACAAATAGAGTTTAGAAGTCTTCTAAACAAAACTGACACATCATCAAAAGTCCTATCTTTATAATTATTTGTCAGTTATTTCAAAGGCCAGTTGATATCTAATGTGAAGCCCTTTAATCCCTTGTCTTAGTGCCTCTAGAAAGAACTGGAATCAGTGAAAAGTCTTTACTGGTGCCTGTAGATAGGCTAGATCTGGACTGTCCTTGGTGTGAATGATACAGGCATGTATGGTCTTAGCTGGAAGTCCATGCCCGTGTGTGAGCACACCTGACGATTGCAGTAGGAGGGAACTGAAGAAAAGAAACCATTCGGTGCTAACCGTGCTCAGTGGTTAAAGGGTTAGTGAGGCTTGAGAGTCAAAAACTTAAGTAAGGTCTTGACTCCTGCTTTAAGCTGAGGTCCTGTCCACACTCGGGGAAAGTATTGCAGTGAGAAATGTTAGCTTCTAGTTACCTGTGCTAACAGAGATGCAGGAAAGAAACGGATCCTATGAAGCCTGAGAAATAAAGGAGTTATAATATGCAATGTTAACAATAAGCACAACCGGCTTAAGTTTCGTTCCTTTATGACATGCTATTTCTAGTGGAGTTGTGAACCAATGTGTAGTTATTAAGCACACTTTGTAAATGCTGGCTCTTTTATAGAGGAACTAACTAAATGCCAATTTAGTTAATGAGTTTAGTATGGTAGTTTTTCTCATGAATGAAAATGCATACATTTGGAGTCTGGAATGTCTTCTATGAGCATGCTGGGAAGGGCCACGGAAGCAATGAACTGGTAGGTTGTTTTAGAAGTCCTTTCAAATGGAGTATGAGATGTGCCCCGACTGGTAACAAGCAGTACATCATTGAAGAGGAAAAGGCTGAGGTCTCGGGTCTGTTCGTAGAGCCTGTTAGAGTGGAGGCAAGAACTGTTTTCATGGGTTTACACCTTAGTAAACAATTAACTATCTTTAAATGGATATGCCTATGATTATGACCTTATTCCACTACAGACCTTTGTGTAATTCATGGAATCCTTGGTAAAGTAATCCTGCATCTCTCAGACCAATCATGTAGAACTGATAAGAGTTATTTGATCTCATCCATTAGTCGAGTATTTTGTTATATGCAAAACATGAACAGTGAGAGCTGGAAAGACAGCTCAGGTTAAAAGTACCTGTTGCTGTTGCAGAGGACTGAGGTTTAATTCCCAGCACCCAGATGGTGGTTCGTAGCCATTGTAACACTAGTTCTGGAGCATCTAATACCTTCTGACCTCTTCGGGCACCAAGCATACACATAGTACAATAATGCAGGCATTGTTTTCATTGATGTGAAAAATGACCAGGCAGTGGTGGTGCATGCCTTTAATTCCAGCACTTAGGAGGCAGAGGCAGGTGGATCTCTGAGTTCAAGATCTGCCTAGTCTATAAAAGCTAGTTGCAGGACATAGGTTCCAAAGCTACACAAGGAAACCCTGCCTCAAAAAAGCACAACAAAACAAAACAAATCATCAGCTGTAGGCAAAGCAAAATTTGGTGTGCTTCTGACTTCATCTGTGATCCTCTTATTTTTGCTTAGGAGCCAGATTGCTGGATGGTTCTCTGCATATAATCAAATTCTTTACATGAGATGTTATATATCTGTCAGGGTTTTCAGTGGGAAGCAATTGTGAAATGGTTTATTTTTGTGGAAGAGTTCTATATTGTGTACAAAACTTGCTGTAGTCCATATATAACACTGCTGATTTTATATATATATACCTGAGTTACCAGGATTTTATCACATTGTACTTTTTTATGCATTTCTGGCAATTCCCTGGTGACGCTGGTTCCATAGTTAGCCTGGCTTTGAGAAATAACACTTTTAAGTCATTTTAGTTACAACTGTGTCTAAGAGCTGGACTAAAGACTGGATCAGAGTTAGGTAGAGAACACATGAGGTTCATTTTAGATCTTGGGTATACAGGTAAATAAAAACATAGTGGCCATCAAATGCTTTGCAGAAACTGTATCCTCAGATCAGCCCTCAGTGCTCTCTCCAAGTTCCTTGACCAAGTCTCCACAAGCTGTCAGTCCTCTAAATGAACAAATCAATTTCACCTTTAATACTGATCAGTGGAGCAGCCAGGATATCAGACAAGATCCCTTCCCACTCCAAGAACTGTCAGGCCCTCACTGAGCTGAGAAGACTCTCCTTTGCATGACAGGGGAACAAGGGTGGCAGGCATGGCCACTCTGAAATATGACCCCAGAGAGCTTAACAAGGTCCTTAACAAAAACCTGCCCTCAGTAGTTCTTCTGGGAACCTGGGAAAGGGATTCTTATTCTCTCCAACCCCATAGCTTCCTATCACTCAGTGGAACTCACCTATAATCCCAGTCTTTGGGAGAGCTAAGGCAGGAGGATATCTACAAGTTAGAGGCCAGCCCAGACCACACAGAACTACAGGTATCCCTCCATGTCTTTCTACCACATCAATAGGACAACTCTGTAATTACAATAGACAAAAAACACCAGGCTCAGACTCTGTTGAAGGCATCTTGGGGCTGGAAAGATGGTTCAGCAGTTAAGAGCACTTACTGTTACAGAGGACCTGGATTTGGTTCTCGGCACCCACATGTGGTCCCATAACTCCAGTTCATAGAGGACCTGACACCCTCTTCTGACTTCCAAGAACACACATGCTACACATGTGTACATGGTGGCAAAACTGGCAAACACTCAGAATATTTTTTATTATTTTTAGGAGACTTTCAGGCTGGACATGGTGTCAAATCAAGGACATCAGAGAAAATGGCAGCCTTTCACTATAGCAAACAGTAAGCATAGTCTAACTAGAAGGGCATGATAGACCAAAAAAGGCCTATCTTTTTTATTTATTTTGGTTGTATGTATGTTTTTTTGTTTTGTTTAGCTTTCAATAAGTTTTGAGGTGTGCTGAGAGGCAAAAGGCTGAGAGAAGAGAGATGGCAAGCATCAGAACCAGACATGGATATGACAGAGATTTTGAAACATTCAAATTAGGAATTTAACCATGGTTAATATGTTAAGAAATCTAATGGGAAAAAATGGATGAAATAGAAGAAAACAACTAGGTAATAGAGTAATAGAAATTGTTGCAAAGTCAAAGGAAGTGGTAAAAATAAAAGAAATGTAACAGAATCCCATAGTGGGCTTTTGAGGAGACTGTAATTGAGTTAGGAGTGGTCAGCTGGAAGATGTGTGAGGGGAAAAGTCTTTTTTTTTTTTTTTCATTTAAACTAAAAATTCACTGAGTTTGTTTTACATACAAATAATCAACACTCATTATTTCATAACAAATAATACTGATGAAGTCTCAAGGAAATAAGCATACTCAAAAATCGCTGGTGTTTAAATGGTTTGAATTTCCATTATGTAGTTATACTTGTATTTATCTTTTGCCCCAGAAATTCAGTTTCTAGATTTACATGGGAGGGAGGGGGAAAGTATTAAACGGAGAAACAGGAGCAGACTGAAGCTGGACAGTTGAAAAGCAAAACAAAACATACATACATGCCATGGGAATACCAGATAAGGAAGAGAGGAAAGAATGGGAGAAACACTCAAATCTGCTTAGAGCATCTCAGTGGTTGCCTGCTGTTCTTCCAGAGGATTTGAGTTCAGTTCCCAGCACCCACACCATGGCTAATCACAGCTTGTGGTTCCAGATCCAACACTCATATCTGCCCTCTGTATACGAAACTCACATACATATACTCCCATGAATATGTGCAAACACACATATTCCAGAAAGTTCCAAAAACCCAATAAATCTCTACACATAACACCACTCTATTAGAAACTTAAAAGGGGCTGGAGACATGGCTCGATGGTTAAGAGCACTGACTGTTCTTCCAAAGGACTTGAATTCAATTCCCAGCACCTGGCAGCTCACAACTGTGTTCCCGTTCCAGGGAACTTGACACCCATAGCAAAACAACAATGTACATAAAATAGAAGTGAGTAAATTAAAAAAGAAACTCAAAAGACAAACTTCACTACAAAGAACAATGAAAATCTAGAGGAACAAGGATAAGAACTTTATTTGACTTCTCTTCAAAACTGACCAAGCACAAATAAAATGGTGTGAAAATAAAGAAAACCCCCAGCAACCTACAATTCCATAGCCAGCAAAATTTTTCTTCCAACATAATGGACAGTATCTCAAACCAAAATTAAGGTAACACTGCCAGTAGTTACATGAAGACATGAAGGCCATTTTAGAAGCAATATATAAAAATGGAGTAACCCAGCCTGGATCAGCTAGCCTGTCTACCACCATGCCAGCTTCTTTAGACCTGTGGGGTCAGAGCCAGCTTCATCTCACTATTAAAGCTCTTAGCCATTGCTACAAACCAGCAACAGTCAACAAAAAACAGAAATGCTAAGTCACTGAGGCAAAAGACGCTTGTGATTTGGTTTCTCTTTTGTTTACATTGATTTGTTTGGGGGCAGGGGTGTGCCACCAAGCATGTGGGAAGTCAAAGGAAACTTGGCAGAGGTCAGTTCTCTCCTTCCATGGTCAGTTCTGGGGATCTAACTCGGGTCTTTCTCATGGCCTTTGATTTTCATTCAAGATCTAACCAGGTGGGGATAGGGGTGAAAGAAACTACCTACCCACTGCCTGGCACCTTTAGATGTCTGCTGAAATAAGTCATTGAAGTAAAAGAGCCTCCTTTCTGTTTGTTTGCTGTGTATTGAATAATTTGTCTTTACCCTCAATACTGAAAACACTGACCATTTTCTAAAGCCGTTATCAGAAAAACTGTTTTGTAATAAAGTTTTATTGGCACATAGCCACAGCTGTTCATTTATATAATGGTACTGTTTATGAATAGAGTACTGTGTGCTGTGTGGCTGTCTTTGTGCTACAACAGAAAATGTCATTGCCATAAACCTCATGTGGCCAGGAACTTCTAAATATTTACTCTTAGAACTTCATAGAAACACTTGTCCATTCGTGTTCTAAAAGAGCAATAGGAGGACTAATTTATGGACTTTGGCATTTTTCCATCTGTTCCTACACATCTCTGAGCATTATGCAAAGTAAATATGGTAAAGTCATTTTCAGTGTTAACTTGAACAGCTATCTAAGGATAATCAAATAATTCTCGGTTTTTAGCAGAATATTGGTGTGCGCTCCTACAATACTTGAATCTGATCTCATTAGGAAACTGACCAACCTTGAGGTCTAGTATGGAATTTCTAGGTTTGGCAGACACTGTTTTCTCATTCTATGAAGGAGCCATCTGGAATGCAAACAATGATAAAGTGTTGTACATCACCTTGAGGCATATGTGAGTGATTTTGATTCAGTGCAAAGGTTCTCTTGACTGCATTCAAGGTCAAGCATGGTACTGAATGCCAGGGGTGAGCAATGAGCAAGACAGTTACTGCTTTCAAGGTGTTCACAGCCTCAGCTGATAGCTGCTCACCTTAAAGAGAAGTCCATTGTCTCATCACAGCAATGAAGCTGAACTACATCGTGGATCCCAAGCAGGTATCTGTTTACTTCTGATAGAGTCTGTAAAATAAAAAGTAGGGTGTATGATTATTTGAAATCCCACTAGTGCAGAAACAAATGTTCTACATCCCATGGCATGCAGATGTCGACTAGAACTTGGAATGGTAGTAGAAAGCTGTCTTTTCTTTATAATATGAGCTTCCTTTAGCAAACCAAACTGACAAGGAAAACAGTATTTGAGGCCATGGGTTTTTTAAAGCTGAGGTATTTTCTTTGTATATACTCTTCCTACTGTCAGAAAACAAAGTTAGGGAGGGGTGAAAGGAACTACCAATAAAAAGAGGCAAATGAGGGGTTGGGGATTTAGCTCAGTGATAGAGCACTTGCCTAGCAAGTGCAAGGCCCTGGGTTCGATCCTCAGCTCCAGAAAAAAAAAAAAAAAGAAAGGCAAATGAATTAGTAAGATTATGAAGTAGGCCCATGTGTTGCTCTGGCCATGGGGATGCCTTGTAAGAGTGCACGGAGACCCAAAAGTGAAATCCTGTGAGTTCTAAGAATCATACTTTTGGAGTCCAACCAACCACACTTCTCTTTGTTTGCCAAGACATGAAGATAGAAATTGAAACAAAACTACATCCTCCTGATTCTCTAATTTGACCAAGTAACAGTATTTCTAATTAATTAGTACTTCCATTATCTATATCTAGCTCCTGCTGAATGTGAGACACCAGAAAACAAGTCAAAGTTCACACATGGTGGAGTCTGTGAATAGATGGATCCAAGGCCACATGACAGGACTGTCCATGGGGATATAGAACACTGAGGGAAAAGCTAGCCAGAGACCAAGAGAACTTAGATAATCTAAGAACATAACTGATCTCTCACTCACACACAAAGGGCAGAGAAAGAAAATAGTTGTCCTGCTCTATTGTTCTCTGCCTTATTCCCTTCAGACAAGGTCTCAGTAAACCTAGAACTGAGCTGGCAGCCAGCTAGCACCAGCAATTCTGTCTCCTCCCTCACAGCAGTGGAGTTATAGGTGTCTCTGTGTGGACTGCTTGCCTTTTTATGTGAGTGCTGGAGACAAACTCATGTCCTCATGCTTGTGGAGCAAGAGCTCTTGCCTGATGAAACATCACCACAGCTCCTGACTAACTTTGAAAGGGCTAATGGCACTTATCCAGTGAAGTAGGGAAGGAAGGCAATTTCAGAGAATAAAGCTTATGTTCAAAGAGCAATGGCAAGAGGCTACAGTATTAACGAATGGGAAGTAGGTGTGTATGGTAGATGACTTGGGTGATAGGGGAGTCAGAAGATAAAGGTGAATAGAAGAGTTTACAAGTGATAGATAAGGTTAACCGGGGAGTTCCAGTGTGTGGACATCTTCAGTGCGCTGAGTCTTGCACCAAGAACTTTGTCAGACAAGACAGAGATCGTGTAGAACACATGACCATGCTCAGCTCACAAGGAGTCATGATCAGAGTCCCACCAAACAAGGAACTACAGCCTTGGACAGTCCCAAACATAGGGTAGGGTACAACTCACATACGCATTTTCTAATTCAGATGACAGGAGTGTGTTACATGGAAGCCTGCGGTGCTTAGCAGTAACAGCAGCCCACAATGTTTAGCTGCCTCAGGATCTGTAGTCTCTTTGGCAGTGACAAGGTTGTACTCATGAGTGTGAGATGAAGAAGAAACAGCATACGTACAGGGCATCCTGAGATGATTGTCTGTACATCAGATAGCTGCTCTCTCATTTTGATGTTTTCCTTTATCTAGAATACAAGGTAGTATTAGGCAAAGGTCATGACATTTTTTATTAATATTTTGTGATACCTGGTGAAGGGCTTGGTGCTTTAATAGAATAACAATTTTCTGGCCCTGGTGTTTTAATAACAAGGGGAAGTAAACAAAACTGTTCAGAGAAAGATCATTTTAGGGTGTGATGTGCCTTCACAGTACATAGGGAATGGTGAGTGCTGTAACTGCTAAGTCAGTAAAGTGACTTGCTATATTAAAGAAACAGCTTTGGAAGCAAAAGATTCTACATTTGACTTTCCTTTTGGTTATCTATACAAACCCATATTTTATATACTTTCACACTAGAAGTGGTGATGGGGATGTGCCTCAGGTGACAGAGTGCTTACCTAGTATACACAAAGCCCTGGGCTTGAGCCCAAGCACTGTATTACCTAGGAATATCAGGGAATATCTGTAATCCTAGCACTCCAGAAATGAGGGAGCCAGGAAGATCAGAAGATCAAGGTGATCCTTGGTTACATATCAAGTTCAAGCCAATCTGGGACACACAAGGCCCTGTCTAAAAGACAACTACAAAAAAGAACATCTCAGGGTCTTCAAGTGAGATTACCACAAAAGACTGAAATATTTTGAAGGGCACACATGCATATCAGCAACCCACCTGATCTATGTAGCCTTTATATCTTTTTATTTGATCAATTGCAGTGGTCAGGTCCCCACGGTCTATGTGTTCTGCGGGAGTATGGAGTCTCAGAGCATAGAGAAGGTGAACATATTCTTCAAATCTCCGGGATGGGTACAGAAGCAGTTCTGGCAGGCTGTACAGGGCATAGGGTAGGGTGCCCTGGTTGCTACTTGTAGGTCTCTGAGGGCCTGTCCTTGAGTGCCTTGCTGTGCTCTCCCTGAAAACTCACCTCAGCATTTTGGTAACAGGGGTGTTATCATGCCTCTTCAAGAAAGCTCTGAATGCTGGTGTCATTTCTCTGCACTAAAAGGTGAGGGTTACATTGTCAAAACTTTTCAGACAGTTATAAAGCCTTGAGTTCCACCAGCAAGTGGTGAGCTACAGAATATCAAAGCAAGAAGGCAGCATCTCCATCTAACCTAACTATCAACAGTACTATTCATGTGTTCTAATATAGAAACTCCAGTATTGTAATTATACCACAGACCTACCCATATCCCCCTAACTTAATCAACAGAGAGATTTATAATTAAGGTAGCATTGGATTAGAACTAGAATAAATTGAGTAGGTGACTTTATCCAAGTTACCTGACTTTCTCATCTGTAAAATGGATAGAAGACCCAGCTCATAGTGAAGGGACCGAATCCCACCCCTACAGAGCCTGCTATGTAATAAATCTTTATTTCTGTAAGAGTTTGGTTATCACTGACAGTCACCTTTAATGCTGCTGTCATCCATATTTTCCAGGGTGATATTACAAAAGAATTTCACTATTTCAAATGTACTCCTTTATCACCACTGGTATGTCTGTGAAATTGTATCCTCTACAAGGATTTATACATTTGTATATTTCTAAAAGATGTCAATATTGCTAATGTCTGAGTCCAAGATTTACTGATTTCAATCCCCAAGAATATTTTAGGAATAAGGCCATTTATACCTGTGAACAATCACAAGGCTTAAAAGATTTGATGGTGTTGAAATAATAACAGCTACCATAGCTAAATGTACTGAACAGCTGTATGCACTCACTATGCTAATGAAGTAGGTATCTGTTTTACATGGCTATAAAAGTTTTGCCACTGGTTTGTTTCTGATGACACTCTTTGCTCTAATTCTTGTCCTCAAACATCTAAAGTCATGGTCAAGGTATCCATTGAGGCAACCCTGTGTGTTCCTGCCCGTGGCACTGCAGAAGCAGAACATTCTGAGTACAAACTCTTGTTCTAGCTTCATTGTTTAATGTCCTGTCACTGAGCCATGGTGGCTGGGGTGCATGAAAATTTGGCAATATAGATAAGGATGACACAGTGTCCACCACTGTGTTAGCCTCTATGTCAGGTCCCTGTCATCAAGAAGCTTCAAGTACATGAGAGGGAACTGGAGAGGGGCTGCTGAGAAGCACCCTTTCTCATTTACTTCAGTCCTTTGGGCTGTACAGGGTTAGCATGGAGGTAACTTACCTTCTCGATGGTTTTCAGAACAACTGGATAGTTGTTAAAGAAATTGGTATATGAATTCAGCTCCCTTCCAAACTTTATGAATATTTCTCCAACACACTGGGCTGGGCTCCATTCCTGGAGTCTGTCTTTTAGGTTATTTAGAAATTCTCTACAACACGACAAGATTGTATACTGAAATAGGAGCCTGTGAGAACCTCTAAACATAAGCAGCACATTCATTGGTATAGGCTTCTCTGCCCAGTGTTCTGAGGTAGGACTTGCTCTTGACCAGCTGAGTGCCTTACCACAGAGAAATCTGGATTTGACAGGATGGGGGAGCTGGGTAGTGAGGGAAGAGGTTGGCTGTCCAGGATCCCATCTTTATTGATTTCTTGTCAGAATCCAGCTTCTCACAGTAGAACTGCTTTGGAATGTCCCACCCTCAGAGAGCCAGAGCTGTGGACATCCTCACAGTCCTCTGAGCAAAATGGTGCCTTTAAAAGCTTCTTGGCCTTTAACCTTTAACTTGCATATAGCCCTCATACTCTCCTGATCCAAGGTGATCCTTCTCAGCCATTCCAGGCCATGAAAACAAAGAGGTTCCCATAAACCTTGTCACTGGGTAGGAGCTGGGCCCAGAAAGGTGAGGGACTCTCTCCAGAGCTGTAGAAATTGACTTAGACTGGCACTTGGCTCATCTAACCTCACTATGGGTAGAAACCATTGTTCTCAATCTCTTGATGCAAATAGGAAACCCACAATGGAAAAGCACTCTTGTGTTCCTGTCCTATCATTCAATTAGATATTGTTGACTCTTTCCCATGGACTTTTTTGTGAGCGGTCTATTGATTACAGAATGCCTAGGCATTGAAGTCTTTTTTTTTTTTTTTTTGCACATGTTGTTGTAACCTGGGGCTAGGGTAGCACTGGGAGCCATCACTGCTGGTTGTAGCTGTCAAGTAACATGCAAAGAAGACTCTCTGCTCTTCCAGGTAATGGGATCCCCACAAAGATAGAGAATGGCCGAGGCATGGTGGGACTTTTGAGACAAAGCATTCTCTTCCCACCATCTGGGGAGTACACCTTAAAGAATTTATCTTAGGGTTTACCTGTTGAGATTTAAGATTCGTTGAGTATCAGAGAAAATGATGTGTATATTGGAGGCACTCAGAATGGCTCTGTTTGAGGAGAGCGCTGCCCTCAGGGGCCTGGCGTACACATCCTTCACGATTCCCAACATCTGCACATACTGTCTCTCACTCTGTAAAAGCTCCCTCACAACTCGGGTTCGTTTCTCTACTGAGTCCATCTGGAGCTTTCTCTCCTGCAGAAAACATCAGGAGTTCAGGAGAAATGTAGTGACTGAGCCCTCAGCAAGGGCCCATTGCAGGATGCCTGAAGAGGGAGATTAGGCAAGAGGGGCCATCAAGGGAAGGTGGCAATGGTGTAGATCTAGAAGAAGCCACCCAGAAGCTTAATGAGCTGAGACAGACAGCTGGTGGTGGTCCACCTGCTCGAGTGTCTTCTGCTCTTTCTCCCTCATCCACTGGGATAGCATAAAGAACCGTACATGAAGTGCCCATTTTATGTGCACATGCTTATTTCCCTCTCCCTACAAATAGCCCAAGATGTCTTGGTTGACATAGATTGGGGGGATACCCCTGTAAAATCGCCCCTTCCTCTCCTACCTTTCTATTCTAGAAATGATTGTATGTTCTCTCTGTAAACAGAACAGCATAAAAGTCCTTACATACCTGTTCTATTGGACAATTTCAGTGGGTTTTTTTGTTGTTGTTTTGTTTGTTTGTTTTCTACTTCTCACTAGCAAACAAGACTTTTTTTTCTGGCCCTGGAGATTAAACCCAGTCTTGTACATGCTAAGCAAATGCTACATTTGAGCCTAAACCACCAGGCTCTGGGCCTAGATCCCAACCTCCAAATTTCCACACAATTCTGCATAGAACAATCTGTCTTTTAAGTAGAATTAAATTTGTCCCCCCCCAAAAAAAAGTCCTAGGCAGGACATGTGTACACATATCTGTAATCCTGGCACTTGGTAGGCCTCACAGGATAAGAGGATTGTGAATTAAAAGCCTAGGCCATATAGCAAACCCCTGTCTAAAAAAAGCAAGAGCTAGCAGAGCACTTCTATGAATGACTCTGGATTCACATTCTAGCATGGTCAAAAACAATTTTAAAAAACTAATCCTAGCCAGGTATGATAGTACAGGTGTATAGTATAATCCCAATGATCTGAAGGCTGTGGCAGTTGCTACCATCCATTTGTGATGGCTTCCATGCTGATTTCTAGTGAGCAATCTGTAGCAAAAGACCTTCCCTGGACACTCCCTGCTTCCAAGGATGGGGCTCTAAAGATCTGTAGGTCTGAGCTCAAGGCTGCAGAACTACATTTCTCTCTCTCCTCTCTCTCTCTCTCTCTCTCTCTCTCTCTCTCTCTCTCTCTCTCTCTCTCTCTCTCTCTCAGAGTCTAACCTTAAATGAATCACTGAGTTTCTCTAACTCAGGTGTTCATTGTAAAACTCTGGAACTAACATCTTCTTTGGAGTCTTTGGAAAAATTAGTATAAACAAATGTGAAACCATGTTGAATATTGCAAAATAATGTGTGTGTGCTGTGAATTTTGGCAGCAGGAAGGGCCTCTGCATGTCTGGCATCCCCCAGGACAGAACACTTCACATGTATTGACTAGAGGAAACTTTGGAAGTCAGCCTGTGAGTTTGATGAGCTAATTAAAAACTTCAAACCTTCATGATCATATGTCTTTTCTTTAAACGATGTCCTCATCATAGAAAATCATAGGGTCACATACACAGATTGGTTTTTTTTTTTTTCCCCAGATGCCATGCCTCGTCCTTTGAATCAACTTCTGAGTCCATAGCATAGCTACCAGGAAAAAAAAAATCTACCAACTGGGTCTTCCTCCAATTCAGTTATGTATTTGGTTGTTTATTCCTCTCTTTAAGGGATGTTTCCAAGGAAAACAAAGAACTAGTCACGGTAAATAAATGATCCTTCTCTGTCAGTGACAACATTGTTAAATTCCTAATTGGTGGCTTACCAGCTTAACCAGCACTTCCATGTTCAGGTCCCTTTGGTGTGGACTAGACTTTTCATCCTGACAATTGCCTTCTATGGCACTTCTTTGCTGTAGATGAAATGGAACTTGGTTACTTGGAGTTGGGTCCTGTAGTTCCTGAAAGCCTATTCAGTACTGCACATACAAGCCCTGGGAGGCTATCTGCTTTCAGCTGTCATTGCAAGGTCCCTAGACACACTGAATTAAGCATCTGACAAATGTGGTGCCTCTCTTAAAGTTAAGATTGATGTTTTTAATAGCAGCCTTTAGGCCAGTGGGTCTCCACCCTTTGGGGGGGAGGTCACATATATCCTGCATGCTAGATATTTATATTATAATTCATAAAAATAGCAAAATTACAATTAGGAAATAGCAATGAAATAATCTTATGGCTGGGGGTCACCACAGCATGAGGAGCTGTACTGAAGTGTTGCAGCATTAGGAAGGTTGAAAACCCCTGCCTTAGGGAATCTGGAGCTGGTCAGTGGGTAATTAATAGTGTTCACATGTAATCCCAGCCTTAGGAGGAAGAAATGGGAGGGTCTGATGGTCAACCAATCTATCCAAAACAAGTTCCAGGCTCAATGAGAGACCCTGTCTCTACATAGACAGACAGACAGACAGACATGAACAACAGAAGGTACTCACCAGCCTGGTTTCCACACATGTATGTATACATGCGCACACTTGTATGCACACAAGTATACACACAAAATTTAAAAATATAAACAGCCTTTAGATTCCTTTGAGCTACTACACTTAAAAACTAAATTCTAGCTTCTTCCCTAAAAGGTGGGGGTAGGGGGCGCAGGGGTCCTGTCCTTCAGGATTCCCAAAGCTTGAAAAAATGTAGGCACTCCAGAGAGTGGGACCTGTTTCTTCCTTCACAGCTGCTGGGAAGTGGCTAATCTCACTTTGAAGATGCTAGAGAGAACAGGCTCTAACACTTTATAAAATTCACCTCTTTTCTCAACTCATGATAAAGTGTCATAAAATAGTTCACACACTCCTCCAAGATTTGTCTTCTTTCACATTTAAATGTGACCTTTCCTCTCCTTACTGGGTCTTGCAGTCTGCCTATAAATCAGCATATCAAAATTAAAAAGTCCCCGGGTTACCTGAGCAGCAAGCATCCCAGGGGCTCCTCTAGCAATGGAACAATAGCCCTGTGTTCCCGTTGGAAGGCTAGAATAGCAGTCTGACTGCTGCCCTCCCTACTCAAGGGTAAAATTCTTAGTAGAGATCCCTTGCTGTCCTTGGGAGCAGTTGGAGAACAAACATCACCTTGTTTGAGGCTTTGCTTGTCCTGTTTCCTTGAGACAGAGTCCCTGGTATCCTAGGCTCTCCTTAGATTTGCTCTCTAGCTAAGGCTAACCTTGAACTCTTGACCCTCCTAGAACCTCCTAAATGCTAGGATTACAGACACACACCTTTAGGCCTGGTTATAAAGATCAGTTTTCAAACAAGACCCCTTTTACCTAATCAGTAGAAAAATGAATGTATTATATAGCTCTGTGATGTTATATAGCAGCTGTCAGGTCCAAAGGCAACTCCCATTCCCCAAACTCCAAAAAGCAGTCCAAATACCCAGAAATGAGCTCAACCTGAACTATAGGAGGATTTCTGGCAGTTAGATAAAAGCCAGAATTCCTCAGGAACTTGTGAAACAGGTTCCCATCTATGAAAAGGAGTCTTTTCCCTAACCTCTATTAGAAGGGACAAATGGCTACCTGTGGTGCCTGTTAGCATACCAAAGCTCATGCTGGCCTGTCCACATTTTAAAGCCCTGACAGCCATCCTAGCCCTTCTCACTTTCTCCTTTACCCAACACCCACTCCAGCACATGGGCTGCCCCATCCCCCCATGGCAACTCATCCTTATAACCCTGCTATTCTCTCTGTGTTCCCCATCTCTCTCTCTCTCTCTCTCTCTCTCTCTCTCTCTCTCTCTCTCTCTCTCTCTCTCTCTCTCTCAAAATCTTCCCCTTAACATCACCGTGGAGCAGTCATGTCAACCATTTATACAACAGGCAGAAACTTTGGTACAGGAAGTGGTCCCTGAGCAGCGTCCATCCGCAGCTCCCTCCTGGTCTGCAGGCTATACCCCTAGAGCACCTGTCTACTCCAGGGACTCCCTGCTTTTTCCGTGTATGACTGTCTCATGCCAGCCTGGTATATTTTTTTACTTTTGGCTTGGGGAGGGGACCTTTAAATTTTGAAGGAAAAGAAAAACAAACAAACAAACAAACAAAAAAAAAAAACACTTCAGAATTTCCCTGGGAGTAGAACACTTCATTTTAAAACAAATTCAGCGCTAGTTATTTATAGCCAGGAAACCATCACTTTGTTGGGGCAATGGAGACACCAGTGGCTCTAGAGGAGAAAGCAGCTGCAGATGTAAAATAAGAAGCAAACTCACACTGGCTTAAAACGAGGACAACCGAACCCTGCAGAATCATAGTGCAACCTCTTTGCATAAGGCAGCTTGCTCTAACGTAGAAAACCACCCGCTATTGCTTGGTCCTCAGATGTCCCTCAAAGACCAACCATGTGTTGAAAACTAGTCACTGTCCTGTAGTTGGGAGGTGGGGCCTAGTGATCAGACGTTGGGTCATGCGGGCACACTCCTGAGATCTGGGGACCTTGGCTTGCCTTCCTTATCCCACTAGCTTTCACTGCCTGGTTCATCTGGAGGCGAGCTGTTTCTTCTGCATCTCATGTTTCCACTATGATGAACTGTCTGGCCACAGGCCCCAAAGCAATAGGGTTACATGACTGGGCTGAAACCTCAGAGACCATTGACATACAATCTGTCTCCTTCCATTGTTTCAAGTATTTCACAGCAATCAAAATCTGATGTACCAGCGTACTATGCATGGTCGCCTGCACGCTGACACTTCAGATTCAGCCCTGTGGTGTGCGTGCAGGAGCTTTACTTCATCCCGGCTGCTGCTGCTTCTTTCTCCCTTTCTTTCCCTCTTCCTCCTTCTCTTCCTCTTTCTCCTCCTTCCTCTTCCTCTTCCTTCTCCTCCTTTTTCTCCTCCTCCTCTTCCCCTCCTCCTACTCTTTCTCCTTTTAAAGATTTATTTTTTCTTGGTTGTTTGTTTTATTATTTACTTTGGTTTCTTGAGATAGTGTTTCTCTGTGTAGCTTTGGAGCCTTAGTATTCAGGCATCTTTACTGGCCTGCCCTTGGGGTTCTGACAAGATATGCCCTCAGCTGCAGCCACTAGTGTACATTCACTATGTTCCCTTTAAAAAGAGCCCTGACCACCTCCCATCCTGCTCTCTCTCCTTCCCTCTCTCCCCCTTCCTCCCTCCTTCCTTCCCTTCCTCCCTCTCTCCTCCCCTCCCTCCCTCCCTTCCTCCTTCCCTCCCTCCCTTTCTCCTTCCCTCCCTCTCTCCTACTGCTCCTGTCCCTGGAGGCTAGTCTCCCCCATCCCTTTCCCCCTTTTTATGATCCCTTTCCAAACAAAACAAAACAAAACAAAAAAAAACCTCCACTTGAACTCTATTGCATGATGTCTTTCTCCTGCTACTTTTTTTTTTTTTTTTTTTTTTTTTTTTTTCCCTACAAAGCCTGTCCTGGAACTCACTTTTGTAGACCAGGTTAGCCTTGAACTCACATAGATCCACCTACCTCTGACTTCCAAGTGCTGGGATTAAAGATATGCACCACCACCTCCCACCTAAAGATTTATATTTATTTTATGTGCATGAGTGTTTTGCTTGCATGTGTGTATGCATATCATGTGTGTACTTAGTGCCTGTGGAGGTCAGAAGAGGGTGTCAGATTCAGATGCCCTGGAATTGGAGTTTCAGATGCCTGTGAGCCTCTGTGTGAGTACCAGGAGCCAAACCCCAGTGCTCTGCAAAAGGAGTTCCCAGGATCTGATGCCTCTGATCTCTTGCAGTACCAGGGAAGGAGCTCATGTTCTGAACTGACTAAAATGCCACTCACATAGAATGCCACAAAACAACCCATTTAACCATAGTCCATGACAATGATCTTCCTGAAACAATCAGCAGCTGGAAGCTTTCCAGGAAAGCCATCATCCTTCAGAAGAATCTCTTTCCCATGGGAGCCTCCCTCTACAGAGAAGCACCATGGCATAAAAACGCAACAGCAACTTTTACCTTCATGAGTGGATCTGATGTTACTTTTACGTCACATTCTATCAGAATATCCTTTTCTTCAAATTCCTCTTTCTTTTTCCTAGATTTCTTCAGCAGAAATTGTGACAAAAATTCCAGAGGTTTGTCCTGAGAAATGACACCACCCCCAAAAAATTCTATTTAAAATAGTTATCTGATATGTTAAACAAACTACAGGAAAGAGAACATAGGCTGGGGTTCAATTGGTAAAGAGCTATGTGAGCCTGAAGACTTGAGTTCTGATACTGGCCCCAAGGAAAAACTGCGCTCTGGAATCACATGCCTATAACCCTGGGTGAGTGTTTGGATGGATCCACAGAGCTCAATAGCCAGCTGGCCTAACTGAATCAGTGAGTGATCCTGTCTCAAAACATGAGGCAGAAAATGATCAAGGAAAACACCTGATACCAACCTCTGCCCCCCCCCCCACCACCACCACACACATGTTACCAGGTTTTTTCTTTGGAGCCATCAACCTGCTCCTAAGTCATGACACAGACTTACTATTAGTTTTGAATGCTTGGCCTTAGTTCTTTTCTGGCTAGCTCTTTTTACTTAACCTGTTTTCTTTACCTACCTTTTGTCCCTGGGCTTTTTACTTTCTTTCTGTATATCTATCTTACTTCACTGTTTCTCATGTCTGGCTGGTAGCTCTCTGACTTCTTGCCCCAGGAATGTCTCTCATTCTCTCCTCCTTCTCTTACTCTTCCTTCCTTCTGAGCCTAGATCTCTCCCTATCAGCTCCACCCATCCTTTGCCTGCCTAGCTATTTACCATTCAGTTCTTTATTAGGTCAATCAGGTGCCTTACAGGAAAGGTGAAACAAATGTAACACATCTTTACATAATTAAACAAATGCAGCATAAGAAAAGTAACACACCTTTACACAGTTAAAGTAATATTCCACAGCATAAACAAATGTAACATATCTTTACCGAGTTAAGATAGTATTCTCACAACACACACACATATATACATGCACTACACATGGATACAGGAAAAAGATAGGACACATTTCTAACAGACTTTTCAGCTCTCTACTTAAATCATAACTAGAAAACAAAGAAACTGCTATTCAGTTAATATTAGTACACTTCTCCTCATCCCCTATTCTGGTTAGCAGATACACTCTTGGCTCTCAGCTTTTTTCCTTAATCAAGGTCTTGTGGAAGGATCTCTCAAGATCTTTAGAGTACAAGTGGCTCACAACAACCCTTAGCAACACAAGGAAATGGTCAACAAGGGTCTTGTGGTCTTTCGGGAAGGAAGCAAGCCCAGGAGAGAGGTAGGGCAGCACCACTCTAGGGGAACACATCAACTCCCCATGGGGCCTGCTTCCCTCTCACACTGTGGGTTCAAGCCTCATCAACACATGTCATATATACTTCTTCCTCCACCAAACAGGCTTAGCCAGTTGGGGTTTGAGACAACGTGCAGGATCTTTCCAGGCCTTTGGGTCTCTATGAATACCCATGTCCATTCAACACAGAGACCAGAAAACCAAGGGAAACCAGACAGCAGCAAGGAGAGGGCATGTGTGCAGAGATCATGTTTAAATGGTAGAATCACCATAGCAGAAGGGAGTCGGGCCCTGAAGAGTAAATTGTCTCCTCTTATTCCAGAATCACCCTAAATATCTGTTCATTTCCCTGCTTCATAGATATCTTTGAGGTTGTGAGAAAGGGAGCCTATGGACTGTGGTGTGTGTGTGTGGGGGGGGGGTGTGGGTGTGTGTGTAAGCCAGATGACAATCTTGGCACTGTCCACTCTTTATTTTAAAGAGGGCTTTTTCATTACTATGGAACCCATGAAGTAAGCGTTGCTGGCTGGCCACAGAGCCCCAGGGATCCACCTATCTCTCCCTGGCAGCACTTGCAGTAAGGCATCCGTCACCATACCTCGATTGCTTTCACACAGGTTCTGGGGGGCAAACTGAGGACGTCACACTTGCAAAGCAGGTACTTTTCTGTCTGCACCAGCTCCCAGTCAGCTAACCTCTGACAGTCTTTTGAAATGTACACTCTTTCTGGTAAACTGTCCAAGATGCCATGAAATACAAATATTTCTTGAGACTCCCCCAACTATCCCTGTCACCCAGTGCTGACTCAACTGCTTTTCTCTTGTGTTTTCTTTCCTACCCTCTCTCATCTAGCCCCCTTGGCCCATCATCATTTTGTATCTGTTGCACACTTCAATCCCTCGGTTCATACTAACATGTATGTGAACTGTAAGACCATGAACGTGTTTTCTAACGCAGTCACTTCTGACTGGAATTAAGCACAAGACAGAAAACAGCACACAAATTAATAGACTTTAAATAACCCAGCAGGTCTCCTGTTTCTTGGTTTTATATGCTTAGCATATCATATCCTGAGCCCAGAATCTCTCTGTGCCTGCTTTTATAAACTGATGTAATTTCTCTGAGGAACTCTGTCCCAGAGCGATAAACTGGTAAAAGCTAACAAATGGAAATGAAGGGTTTGTTTGTGTTGAAATTTGTCCAGTTTTCTTTCTTCAACAACACTTACAGACCCTTCTCTTGACAACTCCATCAGTCCATCCGCCAGGGCCTGTGCAGTATCTTGGTTATTTAGAATGCTGGCCATACTCAGAGTGTCAAACATAAATTGCCCTGAAATGTAAGGCACATGCACAGTACTTAATTTAATGCGAGTCATGTGAAGTAAAGAAAAAAGTCATCACAGTTATTTTTTTAGTGGACAACAATGCAAGGAACAGGAACAAATTTTTATCATTGCCATGAGCAGCTCTATTATAAAATAGGAAACAAGCCAGAGCGATTTTGGTGTGGCAAAACTGATATTGAAATGGAATCTAAGACTCAGACAATAATAAAAGAAACCCTGAATGTTATGTAAGTTAAATGTTAGATCCAAGTGAAAATTTGAGCATCTCCCATTCCAACCCTTATCTTGTGTTCAAATGTAAATATTTTAAGTTCAGAGAAAATAACCTACATGCAAAGACATCTATTCAGTTTTAACAGTTTAATGTTTACATGCTTTTACTGGAAAGCAACCTTGTCCCATCAATTTCTCATTGCCAGCACACTTTCATAAAAAATATATATATATATTTACTTCTCCATTTTTCTATCTAATCCTCAGTATCTGTAAAAGAAAAAGGAAAAATTATTTCTCCTGGTTTATAGTTTTTCTTTTGTTTTGGGGGTTGTTTTTGTCTTATTTTGTTTTTTGTTTGTTTTAAAGTGGGGTTTCTCTGTGTAGCCCGGGCTGCCCTGGAACTCACTTCATAGACCAGGCCGGCCTCAGACTCAGAGATCTGCCTGCCTCTGCCTCCTGAGTGTTGGGATTAAAGGCATGTACCACCACCTTCTGGTAGGTTTATAGTTTCTAAACTATTTAAGAATATTGGTTTAATATTTCTTAAATGTGATAGAGCAGGTACACAAAAGGCATTTGTGAAGCAAGATGTGCAACATACTGATGGACAAAATATCTGTGTGTGGAAGCAGATGCAGAGATCTGTAACTAACCATTGGGCCGAGCTCCTGCAATACAATCGAAGTGAGGGAAGAGTGACAATATGAACAAAGGAGTCAAGACCATGGAGGGGAAACCCACAGAATCAGCTGACCTGAGCTAGTGAGAGATCACTGACTCCTCACTCTCAACTGGGGAGCCTGCATAGGACTGAACTAGGACCCCTCAATACAGGTGACTTTGGTATGGTTTGGGCAGTATATGAAGCCTCTGGCAGTAGGACCAAAACCAAACTCTAATGCATAAACTGATTTTGTGGAGCCCATTCTCTTTGGAGAGATACCTTGCTCAGTCTAGTCATGGGGGGAGGGGTTCTGCCTCAATGGGGTGATGGGACAGACTTCATAACATCCTAGGGAAGGCTTTACTCTCTCTGAGGAACAGATGGGAGATGGGATGGAGGGAAGGAGGGGAGAGAAGTAGGAGAGGAGGGATGGGATGAGGAACTGCGATTGGAATGCTTTATTATTATTATTATTATTTTACATGTCGATCCCAGTTCCCTCTCCCTCTCTCCCTCCTTCCCTCTTATTCTGTCTCCCCCATCACATGCATCCTGACCACCCTCCTATCCCATCCCCCCAACCCCAATTCCACTTGTAGGGCAATGCCATCCAGGTGGGGTCATGTAGATCTGACAGGTCATGTGAAGTAGGGACTAGGGCTTCTCTCCTGTCTCTAGGTTAAGGGAGTATCCCTCCATGGGGGATGTGTCCACAAGGTCCTTTTGTGTACCAGGGATACATCCTGATTCCACTGTCTGAGGTCCCTTAGACTGCTCAGTCCTTCTGCCTGAGACCCTTATTCAGGGGGGTCTGAGTCAGTCCCATGCTGGATTCCCAGCTATCAGTCTGGGGGCCCGTTAGCTCCTCCTTGTTCAGGTCAGTCGTCTCTATGTGTTTCTGCAACCTGGTCTAGTCCTCTCTCTCTCTGCATCTGGATTCTAGTTCGACTGAGTGTTTAGTTGTGGGTGTTTGCTTCTGTTAGCAACAGGTACTAGATGAGGGCTCCATGATGGTGGATAAGTTATTTGTTGATCTCACTATCCGTAGCCTTTCCACGGTTGCTCAAATTGTTAGTTGGTGGCAGTCTTGTAGGTCTCTAGACCTTTCCTTAGGTTCAGTTTTTTCTTCAAACCAATAATGGTTCCCTCTTTTATGTTCTCTCTCTCTCTCTCTCTCTCTCTCTCTCTCTCTCTCTCTCTCTCGTCTTCTATTCCTACCCTGATACAATCTTTAAAAAAAATAAGAATAAAAGATTTAAATAACACCCCCCAAAACAAAACAAAAAACCCACAAAGTTTGCCAGGCAGTGGCACGTGAAAAATACCAAAACAAAAATATCTGTGTGAACACTCATGTGCATAGCAGGGAGAGGGAGGAAGGCACAGATCTGTAGTGTTCAAAAGATACTGTCTTAGTCAGATAGAATGTGTAAAATGTAAAGAGATGATTAGAGGTTATGGGGGACATATTTACCCAGATGGCAAAAGTAACTCATTTTAAAGAATGGACTGGTTTGGTTTATGATTTAATGTTAGACAGTACATTATTCCACAAAGATTACTATGGTAATTTGATGAGGGAATGGAAAATTGATTTAGTGATGTCTAACAGGCTCATTAAAAAACCATAGAGCCCAACACTAAGCTGAGTATTTTTTTTTTTTGGTTTAAGGAAAAAATTATATTATATAATTTATATGCAGACTTAGAGGGGAACCGGAATGGGCTTATCTACCTGAGGCATTCTGGGTGAATTATGGATTTTAGATAATAACTGAACTGTAGAACAAGTTGTATAATAGATGTCATGAGTAAGAAGTGTTTAACAGATTGGAAGTTGTAATGGGAAAAGATATAGTTCTCTAGTTGGGCAAAAAGCAAGTTCTGTACAGGGCAGATGGGCTGTCCTATGGACCAATAAGACAGAGAACCCAGAAACAGGAGTCAGCTTCAACAGATGGGCTGTCCTATGGACCAAAAGGATGAAGAAGCCTGAAAACAAGAGTCAGTGCCAACATTCTGAGCATGACTAGCTTCTCTTGAATGTTTGAAAACCAAGGTGATGATGTTTGGCCAAGCATGTGTTACAGCTGGGTTTTGCTTATGTCATCTCAGTCTTGAATTTTCTCAGGCAATAAATAAGCTCCGGTCTGATCTGCAGAGGAAGTATCAGAGATCTTACCTATGATCCGGCCACTGATGCTCTTCTGCAAGTTCTTGAAGAGTGGATTTAACTCCTTCCTCACCAATTTCAGGGTGTCTTCCAGGGAGTCCATGATGCTGGTCCACACCTGCAGCTTGGACTCACTGAAGTAGTCAGAAGGAGGCGGTCTATCCTGCTGTGGCACCAGCCAGTCACTAAGAACTGACAGGAGTTTTACTTTTGTTATTAAAGACTTGAGATGAATGTGTGTGTGTGTGTGTGTGTGTGTGTGTGTGTGTGTGTGTGTGTGTATACAGGTACACATGTGTGTGAATGCACATTTGTGGACTTATATGTAGAGACCAGAGGTCAACTTCAGGGATTGTTTCCCAGGTCCTGTCCACCTATTATTTTTAACAAGGCCTTTCATTGGCCTTCAGCTCTCCAAGTCCAGCTCAAGACTTGACCTGGGGCAGGGGATTTCTACTTTTTGTTTAAAGTACAACCAACTCAGTTGTCTTTATACTGGGCATGATATCCTTTCTCAGGAGAAGATGAGGACCCACAGCCTGCTTTCAATGGTAAAATAAGAAACTTGAAAAGGACATGGTAAATGCCCGTCTGTTCATGGCAGATAAGGTTGACATGTTCTACTTGAAATTAGAAATGCAATCGCTGTCTGGTGCTTTTGGGAAGCAGAGTGGATGGATGTAAGTAAGAATGTGTCTCTCCATTCTAAAAGTGAGAATTCTTCCTACTCAGCACTTCCTACACCCTGCCATGCCATTCAAGGCCAACCCACAGCACTCACTCCCATCTCTTCCTCAAATTACGGGAAAAGACAATATTCCACATGGCTATGGTGGATGGGTAAGAAAGAAAGGAAGTTAGTCTCCTTGCAAAAATTACCTCATGATGGAGTACCCACTGGCTTTTTGTTGTTGTTTTTTACCCAAATGGATAGTCTGGTCCATTTTGTTTCTCCTGTCCCTACAAGCATGTACAAAATGTTCTAATGTGTTCTTTTACAAGGACAGTGAGAAGAAACCACTGAAAGAGAAAGGAACAGGAGGAGAAAGGGAGCTATAGCTGTTCTTTGCTGCGCTGAGTTAGGCAGTTCTCTCCACAGAGCGGCAGGTACCATTGTTTGCTGATGTTGTGTGAACCACAGTGAACAGGCCATGTCTGCTTCAGAACTGTGTGAACTATGAAGTCAATGCCTTTCTGTTCCCCTACATTTCCTTTACAAGTGTCACATTCGTGCCAACTCCCCCTGGTCATGAATGGCCTTTGGAAACTAAAGAATCAGTGTTTGTGTCATTTCCAAGGCAGGCCAAGCCCTGTTTGGTAGGAAGAGTGGAGTTTTCAAAGAGAAAGTGACGAGTGACATTGTAAGGTAGCCACATGTTTCTCTTGTCAGCCAATATTAGCCAATTTATTGTGTCAGTGAAGGTGTATCTGCAGCTGTATTTTCTCTTGTGATCCATTTCCCTTCTTGATCATGCTACAGCATGGATCTCAGTAAATCCTGTCTCCGGCTCCTGAGAGCCCCACTTTGTGTTCCCAATTAAAACAAATCCATTCTTTAAAATAAATAAATAAATAAATAAATAAAAACCTAGGAAAACACATTCTTCCTCCAGCAACTGAACAATTTTACTGAACTCTTTAAAGAGGGTTTTAGTAAATGATGGCTTGAAACAAAACATTTGCAGCAAAGACTCCTCTAGATGAATGATTCTGTGATGTGAAGTGACTTGGCTATGGAAAGGACAATATCCCTTCTAAGAGAGTAGCAATTGCTGAATGCAGATGGGGATTGGTGGACATCGGCAAAGGTGTACAGTGCTGCTTGCTGATGGACAGGATGAGACAAAGAGCATGTTTTACTAGTTTTTGTCCTTCAGTAATGTTGAAGTGGCTGTATGTCACTGGGCACAGCAGCCAACACTCATAGACACTTACTGTGTTGGTATGAACCAGTCACGATTCCGGCGGGGGCAGAAAAGAATGTGCCAGTTAGTTGAGACAGCTGAGAAAGAACTTCTGTGCCTGCTTCTGTACAGTCAAAAAAGCTTGCATTAGTTTACTCACAGGTTTCTCCAGAAACAGCCAAATATTACTTAGAAGCAAGACAGGGCTGCCCAAGAAAGACCGTAAGAAATTGTCATCTTCAATTCAAATCCTTCTATCAAAGAGTTCATTAATATTTCTCTTTTATCAATATAGACAGTTGTCCAAATACCTTATTTCTGAGAAAAAAGCAATCAGATGTGGAGAGAGGGCATGCCATTAGAGCAAGTGCTTACCTTCAAGTGTGGAATATTTAAGCCAAAGACAGAGAAAACCTCACAGGGGTTTCATGAAACATTCTGAGTAAAGGAGAATTGTTGTTGAAAGTCAACACAGTTAAAACAGATAAACACAGATAAACACAGGATGGAACAAAATAGTCAAAATATAATGTGGCATTATTTCCTCCCCTTCTTTGATGACACAGATTGGAATATAGAGTGGATTGTTGAATTCAGTGAACAGATTGAATTAGTTGAGAAGAAACTTACATAACAGATGGGGGACTTTAATTTGCTGTAGTCCAAAACTAAATACCCTATTGCTTCTAGGCACAAGATGTTAGAAACCGATGAGGTTAGATGCCCAATGTTTTCACTGATAATGAAGTCAGATAGGGAGGCCACAAGAGTTCATGGACAGAGAGTACATATAAGTCCAAATTATCAACTGATTGCAGAGAACTTGTACATAAAGTTCACTAGGGCAGAAAAAGTTGCCTTACAAGGAATGGTACTGGGAAAACAGGTACCCATGTGTAAAATCAATTAAATTTCAACCCATACCACATATTCTGGAATAAAACAAATGGGCCACAGATCTAAATGCCAAACTTAAATAACAACTCCTTTGAAGTGCAGGAGGGATCTTTTTGATCTTTGTTTGTGCAAGGAATTTAAAAATATGTGGACTGGAGAGATGGCTCAGAGGTTAAGCATAATGATTTCTCTTCCAGAGGATTCAGGTTTGGTTCCCAGTATCCATACAGATTCTGACAACCTTGTGTTAACTCCAGTTCTGGAGGAATTGATGATGCCCTTTTCTGGCCTTCATGGGCACTGCACCCATGTGGTACAAACATACATATGACAGAACACCTGTAGGTTTAAGATTTTAAAATATATACTTTTTAAATAATTTTAGAATATGACAATAACATAATTACAAAAGTAAAGATGACAAATTTGATTTCATCAAAATTAAGAAATTCTGCTGTTCAGCAGAATTATCCAGAGAAAGAAAACCTAAGGCACCAACTGGAAAAACAATATACTTTTCAAAATGTGCAAGATACTTGAAAAGACACTAAAGAAGATTTTTAAATGGTGGATAAGGACATCAAAAGATGCTTCAGTGTCATGGCTCAGTAGGAAACTGCAAATTAGAACCACAAGATGCTTCTGTCTCCACTTGAATGGCAAAAACTAAAGCAAGTAGCACAATGTTGAGCAAGGCAGTTCTCAGACATACTCTGTAGAAAAGTCAAGGTGTAGAACCACTTTGAAAAGCAGGTTCGCTGGCTTTGTAAGAGTTAAATGCACACCACTGGGATCTTATATACCTTAGAGAAGTGATATATTCACATGCACTCTCACAGCAACTTCACTTATGAAACACACTGTAGATAAGTAAATTATAGATCATAATTTATAATTATAAATTATAAATAAATACTGTGTGTGTGTGTGTGTGTGTGTTCCATGCAATAATTACAGTGGCAAAAAGGAATGAGCCATTGATTCATGCATTAAATGACCTAATTTGTGAAGGCACCTCAGAAACACACAAAATAACATCACAAGGAGACACGTCCCCTGCCTTTCTAGAATATTGATCCTGACCTGATGCTCCAAGTGGCACAAAGATGTCTACACGTCCCCCTTCTTCTTCAGTGGCCACACAGCTTCCCAATTTCTCCCAGAAGTCTCTCACTTCAGGACACAGTAAATTTTTAATACAAATCTTACAGCCTAAGGGAGAAAATAAAATATCAACATTGGTTTGTTACATTATTATAAATAAAAACTTGTAGCAGTTTGTGAAAATGAAATCACAAATTCAAAACACAGTATTTGCCCATAAAAACCAAGGTCTCCAGTGCAACTATACTTCATGAAGCACCATGGTAGGGTCACAAAAGTGCCACTGAGCAGCGCCAGGGCCGCAGGCTCCTTTGCACTCTGGGTGAATGAGGTGTTTACAATTTTAATCATAGTGTCTCTGTCTTCACTGTGCAGCACTGGGGTCACTGGGCTTGAGCAGATTTTTAAGGTGAATGGCCAGTCAAGTCCTGGGGTCTTCCAACTAATTTCCAAAGTAGAAAAAGCTCCCACAATTGTCAATGAAAAAATAAGGGCAGAGCAGAAGTAAGACTCCCAGAGTTGGCAAACATCACCTCAGACTCTCCTTTACCCCCCCACTTCCTCGGGACTGATTTGTAACTAATTCTTCCATATTTATGCAATATTCCTTTATACTGTGTGAAAATGTGTCTCTGTGATTGGTTTAATAAAGAACTGAATAGCCATTAGCTAGGCAGGAAGAGGTTAGGTGGGACTTCCGGGACAGAGAGCTCTGGGAAGAAGAAAGGCAGAGTCGTTAGCCACATGCAGAGGAAACAGAATGGGCAATACAGAGTAAAGGTAACTGACCTGTGTAAAAGAACATATGGGTTAATTTAAGTTATAAGGACTAGTTAGAAACAAGCCTAGACATATGTCTAGCCTTCATGATTAATAATAAGTCTCCATGCCATTTTTTGTGAGCTAGTGGCCCAAAGAAGAAGATTATTAAACTGTTATTTTGCAAGTTCTCTGGAAGCTGGACCATTTGATTTGTTTCCTCTTCTCTCATCCAACGTGGATAGAGGTTTGATGGTAATACAATTAAAACAATTCTGCTTTAGACACAAAGGGGAATATAAGTTATATATGAAGGATAGATGCTAGAAGTTTTCTTAAACATTGTCTCCTTCCTCTTCCAAAGGGGTAAATATTGATGAGGTCTTTTAATCTCCCCATAACAACTTAATTATGTCACCATTCCTTTCCTGTGCAGTATAAGCCAGAGGTGGTAAGTGCACACCAATTTATCTGTCTTGGTGCTCATTACTATTATAATTACTGTTCTTTCATCAAACTCAAAGCTTTTGTGCATCAAAAGGTAAAGTATGACCCAGAGGAGGAGCCTGCCTTCTCCTGCCCTGCTCAGAGCCTCCTCAGGACTGGGAGCTGTGCACAGGGGAGCCCATCCCAATGGACCAGCTCATCCAGAGTCTGACAGTGCCCTAGTCCTACCACCACCCACTGGAAGAGGAGATCCATCATAGTATTTGACTTGTTTGAACCCACCGGAAGAGAACCTTGGCCCCATACTGACCAGGAGAGGGAGAGACCCCCATGGATAAGCACTGGAAGAAGAGATGGGTAGACAACAGTACAAGAACACAGTGAATAACAGAAAAATCAATATGATGCCACCAGAGTCTTGGGCCTCCAAACCAGCAAGGCCTGAACTTCCCAACACAGATGAAGCAGCAGCAAAGAACAACCCTAAAAATAACTTCATGAAGATGATAGAGAACCTAAAAGAGGAAATGAGAAAATTCTTTAAAGAAATGAAAAAAAAGACAAACCAAAAATTGCAAGAAACATTTCAAACAGTGCAAGGTTTTAAATAGAGAAAAAACAATAACCAAACAAACAAACAAAACCACAGACTGAGGGAATTCTGGAAATAGAAAAGCTGGTTAAATGATCAGGAACTACAGATGCAAGCATAACCAACAGAATACAAGAGATGGAAGAGAGGATATCAGGCATTGAAGATACACTAGGAGAAATAGATTCATCTACCAAAGAAAATCTTAACTCTAACAAATCCCTAACACAAAATATTCAAGAAATATGGGACACCTTGAAAAGGCCAAACCTAAGAATAATAGGTATAGAATGAGGTGAAGAAACACAACTCAATAGTGCAGAAAATATATTCAACAAAATCATTGAAGAAAACTTTCCCAACCTAAAGAAAGACATGCCAATGAAAGTACAAGAAACTTACAGAATAGAGTAAACCACAAAAAATGTCCCCTTGTCACCTGATAATCAAAACACCAAGCATACAGAATAAAGGAAAATATTAAGAGCAGAAAAGGAAAAAGGCCATGTAACATATAAAGGCAAACCTACCAGAATTACACCTGACATCTCCATGGAAACTGAAGGCCAGAGGATCCTGAATAGATAGTGTTCTACCAACACTAAGAGACCACTGATGCTAACCCATGTTATGAGTATGTTTTCCTGCCAGCCTGGTCCCAGAGCCGCATCAGCCCCAAATAACATACAGAGATGCTGTATTAGATATAAAGCTGTTGGCCTGTTACTAGTTTCTTATTGGCTAGCTCTGTCTTAAATATTAACCCATTTCTATTAATCTAAGTATTTCCATGTGGTCTCATCTTACTGGATAGAGGATCCTGAGTATTGCTCTCTTGGTCCTACATGTTGATTCTCTTCCTACCTCCTCCTGAATTCTCCTTGTCTCCTAGTCCCACCTATCTTGCTTTCCTATTGGCCAAAAGTGCTTTATTCATTAACCAATAAGAAAAACATATTTACAGAATGACATCTCCCATCAGGACCAACTACTATACTTACCAAAGCTTTCAATCACTATAGATGGGGAAACCAAGATATTCCATGACAAAACCAGATTTAAAGAGTACATATCAACTAATCCAGACCTATAGAAAGTTCTGAAAGGAAAACTCCAACCCAAGGAAATTAACTACACCCACAAAAACATAGGCAATAGATAATCCCACTTTACCAACAGCCAAAAGAAAAACGGCAGGGGTCGGGGGGGGGGGGGAGTGGGGATCCACACAAAATACTATCACCAACAACAAATCCAAAACAACAAGAATTAACAATCAATGGTCATTAATATCCCTCAATATTAATGGTCTTAACTTGCCTATAAAAAGACACAGACTAACAGAATGAATACGGAGAATCCATCATTCTGCTGCATAAATGAAACATACCTCAACCTCAAAGACAGACATTACCTCAGAGTTAAGGGTTGGGAAAAGATTTTCCAATCAAATGGACCCAAGAAACAAGTAGGTGTAGCAATCCTAGTACCTAACAAATTAGACTTTAAACTAAAATCAATCAAAAGAGATGTAGAAGGTCATTTCTTATTCATCACAGGAGAAATCCATCAAGATGAAGCCTCAGTTCTGAACATCTATGCCCCAAATACAAAGGAACCCACATTCGTAAAAGAAACACTACTAAAACTCATGCAAGACACATTCTCATTCTCTCTCTCTGCTCTTAGCAGGGCTAGGGGACGAAGACAGGTGTTCCTTAAATTTTAATTTTGCAATATGAAAAGCTTTACAGGAATGTGAATGGGGCAGTAGTGGCACACGCCTTTAATCCCAGCACTCAGGAGGCAGAGGGAGGTGGATCTCTGTGAGTTCAAGACCAGCCTGGTCTACAGAGTGAGTTCCAGGACACCCAGAGCTACACAGAGAAACCCTGTCTCAAAACACCAAAAAGAAATCAAAAAAGAATGTGAATAAACAAACTTCACACTTAAAAGGGATTAAGATTGTAATTGTTGTGCTGTGGTTTTAATCACAATAGTTAGGATTATCATCAAAACTCATCTAGAGTTGCTGGGCAGTGGTGGTGCACACCTTTAATCCTAGCACTCTGGAGGTAAAGGCAGGCAGATCTCTGTGAATTTGAGGCCAGCCTGGTCTACAAAGAAAAAAAAAAAATCATCAAATGTTACTGTACTTTCTTCATGAAGACAAAATGAACCTTTCCTAATGAATCAGAACTTAACAGCAGTGCTGTGATAGTCACATTTGTGTGACAGACACTCAAGCTGTGGGACGACTGTTCTCCTCCAAACCCCAAACCAACCTTGGAGTAAGTCAATTTCTCTGCTGTTTCCAGTGCTAAATATTCCCAGTCTCAATGCCTTCTGTCCTTGAAGAGCTCGGTCAATGAGATGCAGCAGGCCCTCCAAGGTCACACCGCTGTGTTCATATGGCATGGCCACGACACCCACCTTAACACTCTCCACCACCATCTAGAAATGAGACTGCAGCTGTAGGAGTCAGTGTGTGTGAGCTTTAGTGCTAATCAAAGAACCAAGGTGATGCGCAATATGATACCATTGCTAAAGAGTTGTTTCAGAGAGCACAGAAGGAAGAGACTAAACTCTTGCTAATTCCCTTATTTCTTCTCTAACTATGAGGGAAATACAAGGTTCATTTGCAGCTCCATCATGCCGATAAATAGTACTAACAATTTAGGTTATCTTTCTCCCACCCTCTTTATTTTCATACACGCCATGCAGACTTATGCACAACTTATTAAAAACAATAAAACTGAATTAATACCATTTTGGAAGAAGTCCATCTTAAGAAGATTTTTAAATCTTCTAATTATAAATGTAATGAACATACATAACTTCATTTCATTTTATCCATTTTATATTTTGAGACATTATATAGTCCTAGTTTACTTGATACTATGAGGTCCAGGTTGGCCTTAAACTTCATCCTGTCTCAGACTCCTAAATGCTTGGATTACAGGCACACACTGCTATACCTATTTTGTAATGATCATATTTTAATTTAATGGCCATTTTAAAGTAATACTTGTAACCCACTTTTGAAAACTATTGATCACATAATATTATTAAACTTCTTGGGAATTCTGGAAGAGTCTTAACAATTTTTAATAATCACGCTAGGCTGTTTTTTTTTAAGAGCAATGAATTCAATCCAACAAGAGTATTTTGACAATAACTGCACACACAGCAATTTGGACCTCTCATGGTTTTTCAGAATAAGTTTGATTGCTTTTATGTTTATTGTCTCCAATTTTTAAAACTGTATGGGTCTTGTAAATGTTCACTTGATTAGACAATTTCCCTTTCAGGAGATGAATCGTTTTCACACACATAGTAGCCAAAAGATTTCATTAGTCTAGATGAAAAAAAGCCCTTCAGGAAAGGGCGGGCTTCCTAGCACAGCGGTACCTCATATGCGGGAATCTGGGATGAGATCAGGATGACATGTGGTTGCAAAGCACAGGAAGAGCTGTCGTCAGTTCTGCCAACCCCATGAGGAATTTTCTTTAACAGTAAAGGGTAGGAGTGACTTCCAGAGAAATTGCTTCTGGAGAGAACAAGAGGGATGGATAAATCCTAATGTTCTGCTAACATGACTTTTGATAAATTCCAATATCCTCTGAACATCAATATATGGCAAAAAAGCCACTGTCCCTGAGTTCTTAGACTCTCCTAGCAGTCTGAGGGGTAGTGACAAATATGGGTCCAGGTTGGGTAGAGCCAAATCTGCCCATTGTTCCACTTCTACATGAGGAATGCAGGAAAAGCTTCTTGACACTCACTTAGCTTTTATTGGGCACTTAAAATTAACACTATGATACCCCTAAGGGTTCAAAGCTATATTTTAAAAGGTGTAGCCAAGTGATTCCTATTTCACTTCTGGCCCTTAGGGTTTCCTGAGTAATAATGTCTCCATTCTCTCCACAGCCTCATCCCCACATTACCAAGGACAAGAGATGTTTTTAAAAGCCTTTGTGTGCCTTCGGATGACATAACTCCACACTCAAAAGTATTCCAACACAGATCTGCATGTGGTGTCAGGGGTGAGGCTGAATAAGTGTTGGAATGGGAGGATTTAGGTTCCAGTGTTTATATTATGACAATTGGGTGAGTTATGTCACCTGTCTAGACTTTAGTGGCTGCATTTGAAATGTAACTGTAGAATCCAAAGCGAAAAGCAAAACAAACCTCTTTTTCTTAGTTTCTAAACAGTTGTGCAAGTTGTGGAAGTTACAATCATCAGATAGGATAGGTGGGGCTAGAGATATGGCTCAGCAGTTAAGAGCACTGACCATGTTCCAGAGAACATGGGTTCAATTCTCAGCACCCACATGGCAGCTCACAACTGTCTGTAACTCCAGTTCCAGGGGATATGACCTCCTCACAAAGACATGCAGGCAAAACACCAATGAACATATAAAATAAAGTTAAAAAGGAAAGAACTGAATCCTGGCACTGTGCTCTGGAAACAGCCAGAACTTTTCTGATTTCAGTAGGAAAAGAGGATTGTGTTTAGATTTGCAGATATAAATGGGAATTTTGTCCAAATCTGTTTGAATGATTCTGCAATTGGGATTCCTTGGGTATTAAAAGCTTGGTCACAAGTCCACAGTGCTATTCAGAGGTAGGGTGGATAATTTAGAAGGCGGGCCCAGTAGAAGGAAGTTGGTTCATTGAGGATGGGCCTTTGAAAGGAATATTGGGACTCTAGGGACTTCTCATTTTCCATTTCTTGGGTACTATAAAGTGAGTAAACCTCTCCTAGCATGTGTTTCCACCATAATACACTTCTACTAGAGGCCTAAAGCAGGAACCAACTGCTCTTGAGGCCATGAGCTAAAATTGACCTTTCTTCTTTATCAATAAATTTATGTCAAGCATTCATTAGGACAATGGAAAGAGGACTATCAGAGACACTACGTGGTTACTTTTACTCCATAAAAACATAAGGAAACATCAACATCAACAGCTTTAGAAAATATATGGTCTCTACAATATAACTTTATCATAGGGTTAAAGTAAGTTTTGAACATTACACATTTTCCTCTTCAAAAAGCATTTAAAGACTGTATTCTTAAACATAAAGTCATTAATTCCTTCTCTGATATTTCATATACTACAAACCATCCAATTCCTGAAGATCCCTATGTTGGCTAAATAATTCCGTAATGAAGTCTTCATGGCACAGGGGAGCCTGTAGGTAGAAGTTTGCTCACCGCTTGGGCAAAGCATCTAAAGATGCCAGAACCAGCTGTTTCTCCAAAGCTTCATAGAATCCTGTTCCATCTTTCCACATCCGAGGACCACTGGGTAGATTCGTGGACTTTAAAAACCTGGTGCAGCCCATGCCACTCAGCCAAGGGGGTCTAGCTTTGAATAACGCCTCTGAAAAATGAATAGCAGCAGGCTTCCCGTTTATACCACACTTTCCCCAGCCAAGCTGACATAGATTAAGATATCAAAAAGCTGCACCAGGGAAATATTCCAAACAATAATTATAGCCACTTGCCCACACTCATATAGAATTTCTTATTTTGTGTCTGTCATTTTGGGTCTATTAGCAAAGCACAGGGAACAAGAAATTCTTCTTGTGAGGACCGGATAATCATCCCAAAGGTCTGCATCCCTTTCTGCCCTTGGTTGGAGGTAATTTCCCATTTGTTTCAGTTTTCCCAGGGAGAGTGAGGGAAAAGAGAAGGGTGAGCCCGAGTCAGTAGACAGTGTGTATCTTAAGAACATGTGTGCATCAGAGGCTTCCCGAGCACTTGGCCTCGTCCGTTTCCTTCTTGCTCTTTTCAAAGAAATGGCTCTTCCTGCTCTCATTCGCATGTTCACTCCTCTTTCTCACCAGCCCCAATTCTTCTGCCCTGGATTTACTTCTTGGTTTTTTCTTGTGTTTGCATTTTCTTCTCGTTTTATGTGTGCATGGGGGAAGGACTGGGAGAGGCCATATGCATTTGTACAAGTGTGTGTACAGATACATGGGTGCAGGCACACAGTGGAGGCTAGAGGTTGATTTGACCACCAGGGCTGACCAGGGCCCTCCTGTCCCTGCCTTCCTTGAATGAGGACTAAGAGGCACATACACCCTAGCTCAGGTTTTCTCCACTATTTGGGTACTGGCAGTTTAAACTCGGGTCTTCAAGCTACTATGACAATAATGTCAGCAACTGAGCCATTTTACCGGATCCCTTCCTTGGTTTTGCTCTTACAAACCTGGAATTGGACTGCTGTAGAGGCGGGTGCTTGACTTTAGATATTTCATCTAGATTTTTTTCATTAACAAATAGCCTAAAGTACATAATAAAGGAAAAAGGAGGTGGCCTTGAGCCTATGTTGATGAGCAGCCCAACATGTTCTCCCTCTAGATGGGAATCTGTATGTAAACCCCTTTATTCAGCATCTGAGTAAGACAGAAAGCTTCATAATGGTACTCACTCTTATGGAATGCTATTTTCTCCCAAATTACTTTTCTCAGGCACTTTTCTCTTTCCCTCTCCTTGAACTCCTCATCCTCTGTTTTGGGTTCATTCAGTGTTCCATAAACAGCAGCAGCTTCCCTGGGCGTTAGCCAATCCAAGCTGGACACACAAGCAATGTAGTGGCGCTTCCAGGCTCCGTATTCATTCTGTGTTGGAGTATAGGGCAGAAACCACCCAAACTTAATGCATTTGGGCATCCATAAGCAGTCCTTCAGGAAGGAAGAGAAAGAAGAGTGACACATTTCCAAGGGACAGTTTTCTAACAATGGTAGTTTCAGGCACACATTTTTTGGTAGACTGACATTTGTAGTGTTGTTGACTTAATGTCTAAACTTCAGTCTACAAAAGGTGTAAAGTATATTTCATTCCATAAGAAGAGTGTTCTTTGGCTAGTGTGTATTACATTACATGTGAATATATTGTGTGTGTGTGTGTGTGTGTGTGTGTGTGTGTGTGTGTATGACATCTTGTGATAGTTATCTAGCATTCTTATAGAATTCTGTTACTTTAAGTCTGGAGTATGAGAATTTAAGTATAATAGTTTGCTTCACACCAATTCTCCCACAGAGAATAATTTTTATTGAACTCATATTGCCAAATTGCAATAATTTTTGACATATTAAAAAACAGTGACTTTCATATGGTTCACTGAGATCACAATCTAGACAAAATATCCAATGACATACACTCATGTACCTGTGCTCCCAGATCTCTGGGAGGTTGGGGTAGGAGGTATACTATGAGCCTGGAAAACATGGTAAGACCTTAAAAGAGTACAGACTATGTCTGTGTGTGTGTGTGTGTGTGTGTGTGTGTGTGTGTGTGTGTTTTAAAACTACCAATGCAGTAAAAACTGTGGGTCCTCCAGACCTCAGAAGAAAAGAAACCCAGACTGGCTTCAGTTCACTATACAGCATAATGAGAACGACCTTGAATTTCTGCTCTTCTTGCCTCAGTCTCTTGAGTGCTGGGATCACAGGTGTGTACCACCATACCTGGTGTATGCAGTGCTGGAGGACCGACCCCAGGGCCTCAAGAAGGACAAGGCCCCTATAACTGAGTTCCTCCCCAGTCCATATTAACAGTTTCAAAGTAAAGTGTGTGAAGCAGGCCATGAGGCTGTAGTTCAAAGACTTGGTAGATCTAAAGAAGCAGAGAAGAAAAAATGGAAAGGGAGGAGCAAGGGAGAGCCAGGGAGGGACAGAGAGGGAGAGAAGGAGAGGGAGAGATGGAGAGAAACAGAAGAAAGAACACCCTCCGAAATTCAGGGCTCATCTAAGCAGAACCCTGTGTACCACACAGGGTTTCAACTGAGAAGCACTGAGGAAGAGTAAGACTGAGTTATGCAAACTATGACAAGGACTGAGGCCAGCCTTGAAGCAGCTTGTTCCTCAATGGATGTGCACAGACAGTTCCTGGCCTCATTCCATGCTAGAAGTAAAAGTAAAATTTATCAGGAGGAAGATGACATCATTCAGAGACCCAGATGATGACATCAGTGTTTGAACTCAATACCTGCACTCAACCAAAAATAATTCGAATACCTAGAAAGAGGACAGAAATTCTTTGTCTTTCAAATTTAGTACTATTGAGATCCCTGAAGAAGAGCCAAACATTGCTATTATGAGACATAAACTTTGAAAAAATGCTATAATTAATATGCCCAGGAATATTAAGGGGCCAAGTGGAAAATGTTGACAATAGAAGCAAATCAATATTCTAGACCTGGAAAAGATAATACCTTAATTTTAAAATTCAATAAACAGACAAGAGCACATTGAAATCCAGCTAAAGAAACAGAAAACTCAAAGATAGATCAGAAGAAAATACAGACTTAAACACTAAAAGTCAAAATAATTCAAGACTCACATAAGAGGCTGCGGAGCCCGGTTTGGTGGCGCATGCTTATAACCTGTCTCTTGGGAGGCATACCCACAGATACACATACAAATACATACATGTAATTAATCATACATACATGCAACTAAATATCATTAAAAATATTTTAAAATAATAACTTTTGGAATAATTTAAAGTATCCAAGAGGACTGATTACATGAGATACAACATTGCATATAAAGCTCTCAGGCAGTTTTGGATTTTGCTATTACAGAGAAAGAGTAATAGCTGTATCCAATGTGCTACAGGAGATCAAGAACAATCATACACTTAATATATGTGTATATACACCTAATCAAAAATATGACAAAAAGACACAAAAACAGAGGAAGTAGAAAACAGTTTAAAGATTCTAAAGACATTGCATTGTCGTCAGAATGATCAGATAAACCAGAGTAAATACTATGTCTTCTGATAATTATGAAAAAATATTTAAAACTCTGAAATGAACAGTAAAAACACTCATGAAGTCCACAGGAAGGCTTAAGTAGAATAAAAACAGAACATGCAAAACAAATGAAAGCAACAAGAAGCTGCGTAGCACTCGGGAGGTGGGGAAAATATAATTGGAAATCTGGAGTTTTCTGCTGCTATGGAGCAAGCGCTAGACCAGCTTGGAATACATGAGATCTTGCCTCAAAAGTAATAAATGTAGTAAAAAAAAAATAATAAGGGAACTATAAAGATGGTGAGTCTCAATCCAAATATATCAGAATCTTTATGGATTATAAATAGACTAAAAACTTTAGCTAAAAAAAAAATAATATGTTTGGGCTTAGTGGGTAAAGTGCCCCCTACATAAACATGAAGACCTGACTTTTGGTTCCCAGGATTCATGTGTGTTGGGTAATTTTATGTCAACTTGACACAAGCTAGAGTCATCTGAAAGGAAGGAACCTCAGTTGAGAGGATGCCTCCATAACATTGGCTATAGGGCATTTCTTAATTGATGACTGATTGATTGGGGGAGAGCCCAGTCCATCATGAGTGGTTCCATCCTGGGCTGGTGGTCCTGGATTCTATAAGAAAGCAGGCTAATGGAAGCAACCCCTCAACTGAAGAATGGATAAAGAAGATGTGGCACATTTACACAATGGAATACTACTCTGCGGAAGAAAAACAATGGAATCTTGAAATTCACAGGCAAATGGATAGAACTTGAAGAAACCATCCTGAATGAGGTAATTCAGTCACAAAAAGAGGAACATGGTATGAACTCACTCATATATGGATTTTAGACATAGAGCAAAGGATCACCAGCCTATAATTCACACCTTCAGAGAACTAGGATACAAGGAAGAACCTAAGAGATAAATACAAGGTCCCTTACAGAAGGGGGAGATCTCCTGAGCATATTGGGGGACAGTGAGTAGAGAGGGAGTTAGGAGAAGGAAGGAGAAGAGGAGGAGAGGAGAACATGTGGGACCAGGAAGATTGAGTCAGGAGATGAATAGACGAGAGCAAAAAAAAAAAAAAAAAAAAAGATATCATAATAGAGGGAACCATTATAGGTTTGAATAGTAAACTGACTCTAGAGAAATGTCCAGAGATCTACAAGGATGACCCCAACTAACAGTCTGAGCAACAATGGAAAGGCTACTTTAAATGCCCATCCCTGATAATGAGATTGATGACTAATTTATATGCCATCATAGAGCCCTCGTCTAGTAGCTGATGGAAACAGGGGCAGACACCCTCAGCTAAATATTGAGCAGAACTCCTGGAATCCAGTTGCAGAGAGGGAGGAGTGATAAGAAAAGGGGTCAAAACCAGGCTATAGAAACTCAGAGAGACAGCTGACCTGACTCATGGACCCTAGACTGATAGCTGGGAAACCAGCATTGGACCTACTCAGATCCCCTGAACATGGGTCTCAGTTAGAAGGCCTGGGCAGTCTACCGGACCTCTGATAGTGGAACCAGGATGTATCCCTGGTGCATGAAAGGACTTTGGGAGCACATTCCCCATGGAGGGATACTCCCTTAGCCTAGAGGCAGGAGAGAAGGCCTAGACCCTGCTCCAAATGACTTGACAGATTTTGATGATCTCTCCTGGAAGGTATCACCTTCCCTGTGGAGTGGGGGGAAATGGAACATGACGGGTGGTCGGGGGCATGGGAGAGAGGGAAAAGGAACTGGGATCAACATGTAAAATAAAAAAATACATACATATATACATACACACATACATACATATGAAAGCGGGCTAAGCGAGCCAGTAAGCAGCTCTCCTCTATGGTCTCTACATCAGCCCTGCTGGAGTTCCTGTCCTGACTTCCTTCAGTGATGGACTATGATGTGGTTTTCTTCTCAACTTGCTTTTGTTTGTGGTCTTAAATTGCAGCAATAGTAACCCTAACTGGAACACCATGTAAAGGTGGGTACGGTTGTACCTATCTGTAATTTCCATGCTCCTACAGTGAGGTGGGAGATGGAGACAATCCCTCCCAGGAGGACTCAGCAGCAAACAGTGACAGACCATGTCTCAAAGAAGGTAGCGAGGACCAACAAACACTCGAGGTGCTACCCCCACATAAGGGCTGAGGCACTGCCCAGTGCCTCTACCACATACAAACACAGACAAAGCAAGGCAAGCTTTGAGCAGGGCTTACAGCCCAGAGGGAGAGCATTTGCTTAGCAAATATGAGGTCCCAGCTTCCCTTTTCTGTACCCTAAAAACCAAAACAATATTTAAAAACAAAATCAAAGGCTGCCAAATGCTGACCAAGCATATTCTCTTTAGAGACATATCGTAGATGTGTGACTACAGAAAAGCCAAGAGTGGAGACATATAAGCATTGGGTTAAGCCAGGGTGCCTGAGTCCAAGGAGCCTGGCAACAGCCCATAGAACAAGGGCGGTTGTCTGCTTTGTGCTTGAGTCCCTCACTGAGCAGCCGCCAGCGTTTGAAATGAAGATCAGGACACAGCCATCCCTGGACATGTGCAGTTTACAGGAGGAAAACATGAGATGAAGCCAGAACACATCTATGTTCTCACATTAACACTCCTAAAAGACAACGGAGGGACACCTAGAGCAGACTCAGATGTAGTGGCAGATTCTGGTTTTAGCTGCTGTTCGGTTCCTTATTGGCTGTCAGCCAATAATTCAGTAGACGCTCTGATTACATACCAATTTTCCAGAATTAATTTATCATGAATCAAATAATTCCACATGAAAAACAAAACTCAAAACATTTTTCATAAAGAATAGCAAACGTCTATAAATGTTTTTAAATAATAGCCACATTGAATAATTCACAAGCATGGTAAAAGTAAATAAGCTATTGGAATGGTGTATATAGCCATGATTATAAAATGTTACTGGTGCTGGTATTTGGCTCTGTGGCTGAATGCTGACCCAGCATGTGTGAAACCTTGTGTTTAATTCCCAGTATAAAAACCGGGAAACCAAGGGGGGGGGGGACTTCTCAAGTTAAAAAATAAGTTCCTGATTTTATTTGTCTCCATTTTTAAATCTCTCTCTCTCTCTCTCTCTCTCTCTCTCTCTCTCTGTGTGTGTGTGTGTGTGTGTGTGTGTGTGTGTGTGTGTGTGTGTGTGTATGTGTTCACATGTATGAGTACAGGTGAGTGTGTGCCAATGGAGGTCAGAAGACAGTTTTGGGAGTTGGCCTTTATCCTCTGCCTTCTCATTCACTACTGCATACACCAGGCTAGCTGGTCCTTGAGTGCCCAGGGCTCTCCTGTGTCTATTCCCCATCTTGCTGAAGGAACAGAGGGATTATAGAGGTGAGCCCAGAATTTCATAGCTTCTGGGGATCAAACACAAGGCCTCACATGCAGCAAATGCCTTTACCCACAAGCAGGCTTCTCCTAGGCCCTCTATTCTTTCCCCAAAGGGACACTTAACTATGTTTCTGGTTCCCTCCACTGTTATTTCAGAGTCCACAGCCACCCTGACTGACACAAGCTTTTGTGTGCCATTACTAGGAAGTAAGAGTAGAGAGGAGGGAACCTGCTCCGTTAGAAACTTCCAGGGCCAGCTGACTTGAGCAGCTGCACACAGGTCTTTCGGATTCAGGAAGGAAAAGATATAAAGAGAAATGGAGCGAGGTAACACTGTTGAGAAATCCACTCTGGCCACCTGCTTCCTTTCTGAAACCCAGTCTTGGATGAACCTACAAAGGAAGACACAGAAATTTAGTTCTTAACATCATCATCTAACAGTGACTAAAAGATCCTATAGAGAGACCAGTCATTGTTATTTTCTAATGTTCCACTGTAAAGTAATTAAATCAGGTATTGGGAAGTGGTAATATACCTCCCTACCCCAAGCAAGATCCGGAGCTATATCCTCAGTATTGCATATAAATAAATGCACAGCATAAATATATTTAATTTAATGTGTATGTGTGTTTTGTTGACACGTATATCTGTGTACTCATGTATGTGCCTGATAGACTAGAAGAAGGCATCAAATCCTTTGGAGCTAGAGTTACAGAGGATGTGAGCCATCATGTGGGTGCTGGGAATCAAACTCAGGTACTCTGGAAAGTCAACCAGTGCTCTTAACCTCTGAATTTTCTCTCTACCAGGGATTCTTAACCTGTGGGTTGTGATCCCTTTGTCAAACCTCTATCTCCAAAAAAATATTTATAATATGATCCATAACAGTAGCAAAATTACAGTTATGAAATAGTAATAAGAATAATTTTATGGTTGGAGGTCACCGTGACACGAGGAATTGTACTAAAGGGTCACAGCATTGAGAAGATTGAGAACTACTGCAAGTCTAGCTCCATTTTTTTTTTTAATGAAATTTTAAGTCAGCAGGCAAAGCAATGTGTTCCTTATGGCATTTTCATCCATAAAGTAGCAGCTTCTGTCCTTACTGCCCCCTCTTCTCACTGGTCTCGCCCTTCCCTTGCTCCCCGCTTGTTAGACTTCCCTCCCCCAGATAGCACGTCTTTAGCTTTCCTGTCAGGCACATCCCCACACCCCTGCCCCACCAAGCTCTCTTCCTCCACTCTCATGGTCACCTTTCAACTTTTGTCATTTTTGCACACTCATACACACATGTGTACACATGCACATGTGTGTGTACAACTGAACACATGACTGTTCTCTTTATATATTGGTGGCAAAATTCTATGGTTCTAGACCACCAGATAGGTGGTGGTCTTTGAGTGCCTACTGATGGAGTAGGAAGGCCTGGAAGCAATCCAGGAAGCAGGAACTGCCAAACTCACCAAAATCTCGGACATCTAGAGCCAGCTTTAGGTGGCTGGGAAAAGTTCTGCTAATCAAGAACCTACCAAGGCTTGTTTAATGGAGGCCTTTGGCACTACAAATTTTTTCTTCAACTGCTACGTGGCCACTACTATCCACTGTCATTGGGCCTCAGTGAACACAGATGAGCTCACCAAAAGTCAGGACACTGAGCAAACCCCATCCTGCAATGGGACTTCTCTGACAGAAACAGCATTTCCCATAAAAGAAAGCCCATGGCCATCCTGCTGAACATCTGTGACTCCTAGATGTGGTCTTAATTACTGCTTTACCAAAACTGATGGCTCAGTCTGGAGCCTTGTCTACAGTCCCCAAACCCAAGGACAGGAAAGTTCACTGACAAAATCATCTACCATTAAGAGAGGCAGTTCCATTCAGCATGACAAAGAACTGCTGCTAATCCACCATGTTGGATACTCTCAGAATCACTCTGAGCTTCAGTGGTTTAAGCCACGTGTTGTCCTGAAGCTAAAATCCAGTCACCTTCTCAACTACACCCATGGCATTTGGGCCATGCAGAACCAGAATATTGTGGGGCCTCCATGTGAACTGGATGCAATACTTTGACTGTAAACTCAATTTGGTGTCTGGATTACATACTCTTGTGACGTGACCACGTTTAAAAGCAATGGAAATATTGATGAACATCTCTGCTGAAGTCAGCTAGATCTATGCCCCAAACAATCACAGCAGTGGGGCTTCCACAAGGCACTAGAACACCAGGTAGGAAATTCTTCCATTCACAGAAAAAGCCATCATGGCCCATGAAGCTGAATGGTTCATAGACTCTTGCCAAGCTTAAGCAAAGCAATTCTGTGTGTCTTCAGTTATTTTAAATTGTAGTCATGCCTCCCCCTTTAGTGGCTAAGCTGATATGGCATCCAGGAATCGGCTCAAGGTGGAGAGTGACATGGGTAGCATACATTTCTTTTTATTTTTTCACAAACACTCATATGAAAAGAAATAGTGCATTCTCATTCTTTTTCATGCTTGGGTTGATTTTGATAGATGAGCACTTCCCATTGCTTCTGAGAACACCTGAATAGGCATGGATTTGGACCCTGACTGCCATGCCATATCATGACTGTCCTTTTGCGCCCCCCCCCCCCAGAGGCAAGAACCTGGAAGCAACCTAGATGCCCCTCAACTGAAGAATGGATAAAGAAGATGTGGCACATTTACACAATGGAATACTACTCTGTGGAAGAAAAACAATGGAATCTTGAAATTCACAGGCAAATGGATAGAACTTGAAGAAACCATCCTGAATGAGGTAATTCAGTCACAAAAAGAGGAACATGGTATGTACTCACTCATATATGGATTTTAGACATAGAGCAAAAAAAAAAAAAAAAAATCACCAGCCTATAATTCACACCACCAGAGAAACTAGGATACAAGAATGATTTTAAGAGATTCATACAAGGTCCCTACAGAAGGGGAAAGGGACAAGATCTCCTGAGCATATTGGGAGTAGGGGGATCAGTGAGTGGAAAGGGGGCTAGGAGAAAAAGAAGGGGAGGAGAGGAAAGCATGTGGGAGTAGGAAGATTGAGTCAGGGAGGAATGGACAAGAGAGAGAGAGAGAGAGAGAGAGAGAGAGAGAGAGAGAGAGAAAGCGAGCCATTATAGGTTTCAAGATAAAACTGACTCTAGAGAAATGTCCAGAGACCTACAAAACCGACCCCAACTAACAATTTGAGCAACAGTGGAAAGGTTACCATAAATGCCCTTCCCTGATAATGAGATTGATGACTAACTTATATGCCATCAGAGAGTCCTCATCTAGTAGCTGATGGAAACAGAAGCAGACACCCACAGCTAAACACTGAGCTGAACTGGAATCCAGATGCAGAGAAGGAGGACAAGACCAGGCTACAGAAATCCACAGAGACAGCTGACCTGAACAAGGAGGAACTAATGGACCCCCAGACTGATAGCTGGGAATCCAGCATTGGACTGACTCAAACCCCCTGAACATGGGTCTCAGCTAGAAGGCCTGGGCAGTCTAAGGGACTTCTGACAGTGGAACCAGGATGTATCCCTAGTGCACAAAAGGAATTTGGGAGCACATTCCCCATGGAGGGATACTCCCTTAACCTAGAAGCAGGAGGAAGGGCCTAGTTTCTACTCCAAATGACTTGACAGATTTAGATGACCCCTCCAGGAAGGTATCACCCTACACGGGGAGTGTGTGTGGGGGGCTATGGGAAGGGGCATGGGAGGGTGGGAGAGGGAGGGACAGAGAGGGAACTGGGATTGATATGTAAAATAAGAAAAATAAATAAACAAAAAGAAAGGAAGGAAGGAAGGACCTCCATGGTCCTATGGAATTTATATGTCCAGGAAAGGCCAACTAGGTTACCCTGGATACATAAGGACTGGGCATAATTGATGCCCAAGGAGTGGAAGTTGATAGGGTTGAAGAATGATGCAAAAAAAAATCCAATTTCTACTAAAGATACAGACTGACTTCACCACAGAAGCCTTCTTCTATGACTTCAGTGTTGGGCATGTCTTTCCCCATTGGCCAGCTGGATGAGATTTGGTTGACACGCTACTTGAGAGAAAACATATAAAACCTAGTGTAATTCAATGCCAACTAGAGATAACACAGAGTATTTCATAAAAAAGCATCTTAAGTCCCAGGGGCTGGACTGGGAAGGGGCTGGTCATGATGAGATCTCGCCATGACTTAGCAGAGAGCTCTCTCAGTAGACCTGGTTTAGTTTAACAGAAGAACAATTGAGTGCCCAGTGTCTGTTTTTGTTTTTGTTTTTTTAAACAGAGCAGCATTCTCTATAATTCTTTGTTCCCCTCCCCCATGCTATAAATATCCATCAAGTCTCATGGGCCAAGTCTCTGCATTTGCACTTACACACTGGCCCCGGGGCCACACAACCCATCTCCACATTGCCTAAGCTATGTGTGTGTGATGAAAGGTGGCATCACCCCTGTTACCTCTCTGTTTATGTGAGTTTTACCTGGGGCTAGGGAGGAGGAAGGAGTCAACATGAGGGCAAGGGGAACACTAGTTGAGATAAAGGGAGTCAGCAAGAGTAGGAGATGACTTATGGGCCTAATATGATCACAATACATTCTATACATGTATAGAATTGTCAAAAAATAAGTAAATAATACCCTATAAAAAGTTTTCCAGATAAATTCTGTTCTACATGTACATTTCATGGAACTTGTATATATGTGTCCCCTATGCAAGTCAAAAGATAGTTCATGGCATATAGAAGGCACACAATAAATACTTGCTATATAAAAATGTTCCAGGAAAAAAATGTGAAATGCATCCTACCATCTGCAGGGAGAAGTCAGTGTGTGAAGATTTGCACTTGGGTTGTGAGAGGTTCCTGCATGCCTTGATTGATTGACACTAAGAAGAATCCCAGGGTTGGAGAGTTGGCTCTGTGGTAAAGAGTGTTTGCTACTTTTACAGAGGACACAGTAGCTCACAAAATTTTATAACTCCAGTTTCAGGGAATCTGATGCCCCCTCTGAGAACATCAGGCACACAGGAGGTATGCTTGATGTGCAGGCAAAGCACTCATACACATAAAATAAGACAAATAAAAAGAGGAATCATTGCTTGCAGCTAGACATGGTGACATAAGCCTGTAATAACAGCGCTTAGGAGATTGAGCCAGGAAGATCAAGAGTTTGATGTACTACACAATGAGACTGTATCTCAAAAAATCCTAGGCATTGTCACCCATATCTGGCAACCTGCGTGATGGGGGATGTCCTTCTGTATGCTGTGAATATGTTTCTCTTATTGGTTGATGAATAAAGCTGTTTTGGCCAATGGCTCAGGCTTCTTATTGGCTAGCTCTCTCTTAACCCATTTCTATTAAACTACGTATTGCCACAGGCTGTAG